TTGGAGCCGAATCGGGGGTGGTTTCCCATTTGCCCAGAACCAGGGCTTGAAATCCGAAGCCCCGCGTTGGGGGTTTGGAGCCCGGGTTGGTGGTGAAATGGGGTGGTGTCCAGGTGTTCAAATCCGAATCCAAACCACCAATCCAAACCACCAATTAGGAGATACCTGACTTTGTGTGGCCAACCCAGGTGTGCTTTTGGAAAAAGTGATGGCCCTGGTAGAGGATCAAACTAATGTCTACCAGGACCCTGTATTTCTCAACACCTATGGGCCAACCGCCAGGAAAAGGGCCGGGGAGCCGTTTCTTCCCGGCTTTTGTGGGTAGTCTTGCAGGGAAACTCGCCACCCTCACTGTTTGAACTTCCTCAAACCAAATCGGCCTTTGTGACTTTGACGAAAAGTTCCTTTGGTCCTTCCGGAAGAAAAAAAGGACAAGGAGGGGGGGGAGGGGGGGGGGCGGTTTGCCTGAAGAAAAGAACAAGAAAGGTCCCACGTGCGGCTTCAGTGGACCCTGACCCCTTCACTAGATAGACCATAGAAGCTACGAAACTGATGGTTTGTGTGTGTGTGTGTTTCCCATGGTCAAAAGAAGTCCTCTTGTCAAACCCTCGTTCTGCGGCTTTGTGGCAAAAAGCTGGGAGATACAAACAGCCCAGGATTCGCTGACAAATTGGACACCCCACAGTTTTGGACATCCAATGTCAAACAGTCCGAAATTTGAGGGTCGCAGAAGAGACGGCGAAATTTCGTCAACCAGGGAAAATCAGGTCAAATCTGAAGGGAACAATCATTCGCAACTGGCGACCCGGGTGGCTACGAGCCAGCCCCCAAAACCAACTTGCAACAAAAAGAAAAAAGAAAAGAAGAAGGTGGATTTGCCACCCCAACTCCCCAGGACCAGGTTTTTCAAAGAAGCCGAACCCTGGTCTTCTCCGAAGACCCTCCTTCTTCCCAAAACAAGTTGGCCCCCCCCCCATTGGTGTCCAAGCCGCCAGTCCCTCGGCCGTGGCCCGCGCGATGGACTCGCCGCAGGTGAAGTCGGTGAAGGAGTTCCCGGTGTTCCGAAAGAAGGCCACCCGCTTGTTGGGCAGCCGGTTGTTAAACGTCATGATGTGCCTGAAGAAAAACAAAAAATGATGGAAAGCTCGGGGGCAGCGAGGAAAATGGTCATGATGTGCCTTGGAGAATTAAGAACAAAAAAGCCGCTCGCTCGGCAGCGGGAAAAAGGGGGGGGGGGGAATGAAGGGAGCCGCGTGCCTGAAAGATCTCCGATGATCAGCATGATATGCCGCAAATGAGTCGAAAGCAAGCAAAATGGTTGCGCCATGATGCGACGGAAACAAGTCGAACGCGCGCAGAAATGGCAGTGAAAGGCCATGGTGTGCCGCGTAATCGAAAAAGAGCAAGGAAAAACGTGCGAGAATGTTCCGATGAACACCCTGATGCGCGCAAGAATAAAACCACAAACTCCTCTCCTTGCAGCCCCTCTTCAAACACGCGGCTTCCCTGAAGCACCTACAAAGAAAGGGGTTGTGGATGGAAGAGCCAAATGAACATCACGAACGAGAGGAGGCATCTCCAGAAAATGGCGCGATGAATTTTCAAGGCTCGCGCAAAACAAATCGCTTGAAGGGTGCATGACTCTCAAAAAATGGGGTCACACACAAAATGGCGGCGCATCCAGGTTGCAGCAAGGGGCTTCCGGAGCCTCAAAGGAAGACAGACCCATAACCCATAATGGATTGTTCTGTTCTGTTGTTTTTAAATGGTACCCATCGCAAGCTTGCTTTGGACGACATCAAAACGAGCCGCGCAAAATCCGTTGTTGGGATCCAAATCTCAAGTGTTGACACATACCCATATCTTCTGGGTGTGTCTCCAAAATACGGGAACCCTCAAGACTGGGCACGGTGAAGGGCTCAGACCCCAAGTCTCGAAATGCCGGACTCAGCGCTCCGGGGCCTCCCCCAAGCAGAAGGCTGCATTCCAACACCGGGCGTGTCAAGCCCAGCAACCCAAAACAAAGGACACCTCCAGTTGAGACGGGCCGGTTCCCCTTTTGAGAAACTCCCCTGAGGCGTTTATAGGACCTCCCAGGTTTCTCCAACTGTACCAACTAAAACAAGTGGGTATTCTTGGAGGTCACCGAGGGTATCCGGAGAAAACACCGGGGCGTTCATCTGCCTTCGGTTGCAGTTCATTTTGTTTCGGCCACGGCGCTTGAAGACACCAGACGCGTAATCCGCGGAAGGCACCATGACTCCAAACTGGAAACCTGATGGATGCCGATTGCGATCCGGGAGATGTGGGGACCTGACGCCTTGCTTTGAAGTGAGCCAAAAGAAGAAGCCCATCTTTTAAAATCCAAATCGTTTCATCCCCATGGCTTTTGAAGCACCAAAAGGAGTCCGAAAAGGGACACGGTTCAACCCATGTTCAAGGCTCTTTTTTTTCTGAAACACCCATTTTGCCACGTGGCTGTCAAACATAGTACCCAAAGTACCCAAGATGGGTTGCCCTGGTAAAGCAATGCACAGACTACAACCTGCGGTCCCGTGGTTTAATTTTGACCCAGGCCCGGACTGTCAAGATTCCATTCAGCAGGTATTAGGTAGCCGAGGAAGCCACCGCGCAACCGTCAAATATGCAGAACTGGTGCTCCTTTGGGCGTTTTTTGAGGTGCGCAGCCTGCAACTGATTGAATGCGGATCAAGTCCGTCAAAACTCTTGGGGTAATTCCAGCAGAAATCCTTCCGGCCACGGTCCAAGTTGAAAGGTTGACCTTCTCTAAACCAAGTAAAGGTGTGCGTTGACCGACCGGTCAAGCCACAGGTTCGCCGAGGACATGGACATTTAGGGCTGGTTTCTGTTTTCCTGGGGCATTTGGAGCTTAGTCCCCAATGTCCCTCACAAACGGAGCGCAGCTCGCCAGCGTTTTTGTTTACCGAACGACCACCGCAAGCCCCAGCAAAGTCCCCAAAAGAAGAGACCATGAGGGAGTGGTCGCTTTTCGCCTGTCTGATCTCTGAACCCATTTCGCAGCCATGGAAGTGTTGCTTGACACCCTTTGAACCAGCTAACATACATGCCGCTTTGGCCACGATGAGCCCTGGTGCATATTGATTGAGCGATGCCATGTTTGTATATGTGGCTACAACTCTCAGTCCCCCACCTTCGGCATAGACTTTTATCTTGACCAAGCTGTTCTGCGCTGCAACAAACTGCTTCTGGGCCCCAGCTATTCGCCCAAGAAACATTTCAGGCTAGTCTTCAAGCATCGTGAAGGAGACGTGCCGAAAGCGCATGAACAGAATCGACCGAAACATATAAAAATGGTCTTGCCACTGCGTAACTTCCATTGCATCAAAACCCCCGCTTTGCAAGGAAACGCCTCCAGGATCGTCCAAGCTCCCAGGCAAGGAGTAGGCACTCCCTCCACATACCCACATGTCTTATGGTATGTGTCTCAAAAAAACAAAAGGGTTCCCTTGGCAAATACTTCCTTTTTAGTCAGGAGTGAACATGATATGATCTCGAAGAGTTGATATTTGCAACTTCTAAGTTTGTCTCAGGACCGATCCAGGTGGTTGATTTCCTTTTGGCTTCCTTTCAAAACAACCGAAAGTCGCCCAAACAAACATTCACAGACACAAAAATCACGGAAACCCACAACCCCCTCTTGTTTTCCATCCCAAAAACGCAAGGTGTCCAATTACAGGATCCAAGAAGAGGGGGGCTGGGGCAAGCCCCTGGCACGGCAATGAATTCCTGGCAAGCGGCCCCATCTGGGAACGTTTAAGTCCACGATGCCATACATACCAGGAGTGCCACCAGAGCAGTGCATCAGCACTTTCTGGACATTGTTCCTGCGCGGTTTGCAACGTGTTCTGGGGATCCATATCCTGGTCGAAGGCAACGGCAAAGTCGGGATCCTGTGGGGATGTGGGTATCTGGTTTTTGTTCCATCAAATGAGCCCTCGGTTTCCCTTATGTCCCGCTTTGGTTTCCCTTGGTTTCCCTTTAGAACCCTAAAAGGGCAGTCCAAAAACGTGGCCACGCCCATCTCTCGACCATGGCAGCAGCTATTGCAGTCAAGCGACGCTCGCATGGCATCATTGATGGCCAAGTTGAATTGCTGGAAGGCATTCACCAAGGCGTGTACGGCAGTCGGACTACCTCAGATCCGCAAGCCGAATGAGCGCCCATTTCACCCATTGAGTCTTGCCAGTTCGCCAAGTAGCAGAGGCGGTGGGCGCTGATCAAATAGGGTTTGTCAAAAAAAATACGGAGATACGACCATCCCCACGAAACCGCCAGGGTATATGTTTTGGGTGGGGGAGGTTGAAAGCCTTTGAAAGCGAAGATCAAAGGGAAACCACTTCTTTTTGGGGTCCCGAAACATGATAGAGCTTTATACAGGCTCTACCCCAACTAAACCTAGTAGAACCAACATGCGGGCCGCGAAAAGACCAGCGCCAGCCAGGTCGTTGACCTCTTCTCCGAGGTGCCGTTATAAAAGTCGAGCACTTTCCTGAGTCCAAGAGGGGTTCCACCCCAAAACCATGCAGGGAAGGTGGAGTCTACACCCTTGTAGTGTCCAGGGCATACCCCCAATTTGCTATAAACAAGAACTGGCTTGGGGGGAGCGGAAACCATCTAGCGGATGCCGATTTCATGCAACGTCCAAGAGGAAGCAAATTGAGGCGTGCCAAAACCGGGAACCCCTTTCTTGTTTCAAAACGGACCCCCGTTATGGAAATTCCCAGAAAGGCAAACCAAGAAGGAAGCTACCATTTCCAGCAGTGCTTGTCCCCTTCACCTCAAAACTCAGAAGTAGAGAGTCCAACACGTTGTGGTTGCCCCCCCCCCTCCCAACCGCCCACTACCCCCCCGCCGCCCCAGCCGCCCCCTAAACCCCCCCCCACCCCCCGCCCCTAAACCCCCCACCCCCAACCCCCGCCCCCAACCCCCGCCCCTAAACCCACCCCCCCCCCCCCCAAAAAAAAAGAAGTGCCCTTCGGATCCGATCTAAGGCTCTGAGCTGCCGATTCGGGTGTAGATCCCGAGTAGACCATTACCAGCTCTACCTGCGGATTCGGACTGCACATCAAACAGTTCCAAGAAATGAGACTTGGATCCCTTGAAACCTTCGCGAGATCGGTCAGCACCCCCTGTCGTCATAAAATTAGCAACAAAATGGTTGGTTCCCTTTTGGTATCTCTTTGAAACGAGCTGAAAAGGGTGACCTCTCTTTGAAACGAGCTGAAAAGGGTGACCTCCGAACGAACACACCCCACCTGGACTTTCTCGAGCTGGAATAAACTGGTAAACGAGGGCCTTGCCATTTTGTTTGGCCCCCCTATTTTGACACATGTCCAATCGGGGAACCGCTTTTTGATGGCTGAACTCAATCAACACCGTTCCATGAGATGTTTAGAGCCAGCAAGGAAGAAATGTGGATGCGCCTTTTTTGGTAAGGGTACCCCTTTTCCTGTCTTCTAAGAGGGTTTTAACGGGGGGAAACGAAATCCATGTTGAGGGGTCTAAAAGAAGACGAGAGCCACCCATGCAGAGACCCATGCAGAGACCCATGCAGAGACCCATGCAGAGACCCATGCAGGTTCCTGAGGCTGCGACCTGCATGGTAATGCCATCCTTGGATCTGACACCTGAGGCTTGCGAGCAGAAAAGCGGCAAACAAGTCGATGGGTGGCTTCTTGTGGTAATTTCTTGTTTTACATATTGAGGATTGGGGATCTTGGCTTTTTTGAGCCAAGTCTTCTTGTTGAAGTGTGTGATATTCTTGTTCCAATAGCTGGCTTCTTTTTGTTGATCGCCAAGCCGAAGCCAGAGAAAAATTCACGTGCAGAAGCCCACGCTCTAAAGCCTGAACAGAATGGGAGTCAGAGGGTACGGCTGGAGTCTGCTTTCCGAGGACATTTGTTGGCTCGGTTCAAAAGGACATCAAAAGGAAAGTTTTCATTTGTGGCGGTCCCCTATCTTGACGCATACCTTGGCCCAGATCTGGGGTACACAGAAAATAATATGTTCAGATTCTGCTTTACATTTAGTCCACCCTTTAACATTGTATGCTTGGAGACCCCAAATATCAAGGTGAGACATGACCACGCGAGTCACACACTGAGATCCGGGCCGCCAACTGCATTTACTTTGTCACCTCGATGCAGGCGCCAGGCGAAGCTTCGAAGCCCCCTTCTATGCCCGGTTGTCGTTTTTGGAGGATACCCTTCTGGGGGTCGGCTTAAAATTCCAAGGGACATGTCTGGGGGTTCCAAATACATTTGGGCAGACAAGCCGATCCCTAATATAACCGGCTTGTAGTTGGCATATTCAATTGAAACCGCGGACCATCCCAATGGCCTTCAGCGACTTGGACCCAAAGAGCCCATCGACAGGAGGGCTTCCGAGGATGGTCCCTTCCCCCCATTTTGTGAAGCGCAGAAGGTTGTTTCAAGCCGACAGGTCAGGTCGGGAACCGTATCCCTGAACGTGCTGAGCACGTGGAACCCAAAAAGCCTTTTATAAAGGAATCTCCTTTTGGGCCCCCTTTGAGGTGTGTTCATTTGCAGGGGAGTAATGTTTCAAAAAGGCATGGCGTTAGTCAACCTGCTGTCAAGACTCCTGTGGCACATGGCTGTGAGCCCCTTAACCTTTTCAATGGTCTAAGTCTCCAAGTCTCCTAAGGCATTCAGGCCAAAGTAAAGGGACCACAGTCCAGCACCCTGTCCAGACAGAGTAAAGAGACTAAAGTATAATTTTCCTTTTGAGTTGAATGCTTTCTTGGTTGCTGTTGACCCCTTTGCAAAAAGTTTAACCCAAAGATCCGCTACCAAATAGCCATGAAGCTTCTAATAGCTTAGGAAATTCTCTCTCTCCATGGCGCACCTCGCCCGTCCAGTGCTGCTGAGCGGCGCCACCATTCCAAGCCCCTGAAGAAGTTGTCGCCGGTGGTGGTCTGGGGTGTCACAACACCTTCCGATCGGGTGCGGATCGGCATGTCCTTCGAGAACCAAGTTCAAGTCATAGGCAGAGGTATATAAAGCCGTACATAGTATGAACAAACAATGATCAGATATACACAGCGGCCTGTATACGCGTACATCAACGTGCACACTATGAAACATGTATGACAACAACAACAAGTGTTGGATTCATCAACCACATGATTCGGTTTCGTCTAGCCGACATTCCGAGATCTATCTCAGGCGCCGGGACGAACCATCCAACTAGTGGCTTATGGTGGACATCATCTTTGTCATACCGAAATGGCTTCCCAAAACAGAAAGGCAACCTAAACTCCATCTCCTGCCCAACTTGGGGGCGCAAAGCCAGAGTCGCGGTTTGTGAGTCCCATGGGTTCCCAACCAGGCGATTGCAGCCGAGCCGCCGATTTTGAAGGTGGAGGCCGATGCTAAGCCGAGACACAAACAAAGCACCTCAGCACTGGCTGCATTGCGTCGGGCCTCCCTTTTTCCAACTTCCCGGGTGGAGTGGCTAAAAACGTCTGAATTTTCTGTTGGCCACTAGAATGGTCCAGATCCAAAAGTGACTCGAGCAACCAGGAACTCAGGCAGTGAGAAAACTGTTGACTTTGGGCTCCAAACTGATGGATCTTTCTTCCAAATATTGGGACTACTAGGTCCTCCAGTAGAGAGGTTAGAATAAGGATACCCTTTGTTCTGTAGTCTCTTTTAGTAGGGGAACCCTCCCCCCAAAAACAAAGGGTAAAAGGGCACTATTGGGGGACCTAGGGTAACCTCTCGCGGACCTTTCTTGCTACCAAGGTGCCCAGGAAGGCGCCCAAGGCATCGCTCAAGTCGCGAAGGCATCCACGCGGCCCCGCCGAGTGTTACGTGAAATTCTCAGGGAAGGCGTGACTTGGCTTCCGCTTGGGGCGACTTTGACGCTACCAACAAGAAAGAGGAGAGTTGACTCATGAAACTGGAAGGGAGAGTCGAACTTTTTTGAGAGGTCAGCGAGAAATCGGAACTCCAGGTCGGGGGCGAGGGGGGGCGAGGCTGAGTGAAGGTTTTCCGGTCTGTTCCCGGGCTACTGGGGAATCCTGCTTTGCAGGTCCCAAGCCTTGCGAGCCAAGCGAATCGCATCGGGGAGCGGAGTGTGTGTGTGTGTGTGTGTGGAGGGGTTCGGTGTGTGTGTGTGTGCGGTGTGCGCGTGCACCGAAAAGGAAGGCTTGGCTTATCCCCGCGAAAAGCCTGGCCAATAGATGGTGCCGTTTGCTTTTTCCCCTCTGACCAGCACAGAAAGGGACCTACTTTGAGTTGGGCCAGGATACGTGGGTAGGAGGTTTGTCTCCTCAACAAAGCAATGGCTGCAAGTCCCCCTTTGCTTCTGAAGGCTTACTAACATCTTACCTGACTTGCTCGTTCGCCCCTTTCAGTGCCAGCCGCTTTGATGCTGCAACTCAACTGCCTCACACTGCAGGTTCGTGTTCTTTTCCGGCGCGCGCAAAAATGCCCGAGGGCATTGACATGCAAGCGCCGGAAGGGAGTACACGGAAGTGCTTCGCGGAATATGCGCTACACCATTCATCTTCACACTTTGTCTGAACCAAACCAAGCTGAAGGGTGAACAGCGCGTCTAACTAACGACGCCCTGCAAAAGTTCACTTGCGAACTGAAAGAGAAGTGGAGGACGCCAAAAAAAAGAGCAACATGAGTAGTACAAGAACCTAAATTAAAATAGAATGGGGTGGTGAGGTACGTCCAAACCAAAGTTTCTTCTGAACATGACTTTTTGGAAATACTCTACAGTGCAAATGATGTTGAACAACTCATTAACTTATGGATCTTTATCTAAATATGGTTTAGTGATGATTGTAGAAGTTTTGACTCCTCAAGGTAACCCCGACGTTGGATGCGGCTCTGGGTTTGTATCAACATCGGGGGACCGCAAAAAATAAATGCATGGGCTCCCTTTGGTTTCCCTTTAAGCCAAGGTGAGAAGAGTACCTCCAAACACACACACACACACACACACACACACACACACACACACACACACACACACACGCACACACACACACACACACACACACACACACACACACACACACACACACACACACACTAAGACACGCACACACTGACACACACACACACACATTGACACACACACACACACACACATTGACACACACACACACACACTGACACTCACTGACACACACACACACACACACACTGACACACACGCATGTTTTGTCTTAAATTTGAGGCTCTGCAAAAAAATGGTCGGGCTCCCATTTTGCTTGTGCTGTTCCCTTTGTTTTTGTGTCAAGTAGGGGGCCCAAACAAATTGGCGGATCTCCTTTTAGTCCCTGTGTTGGCTTCCGTGTTTTGTGACCTTCCACTGTTTCCCTGTTGTGTGATGTCCTTCTTTGGTTTCCCTTTTGGTCTGATCCCTACCCCATGTGAAGGAACCGGTCTTTCGACTCACCCGCTTTCCCATGCCTGTGGGGTAACTCCATTTGGGTATGGGTCAAAATGAAACCACCAGGGGACCGCAGGTTTTAGTCCTTGGTTCCATTTACCAGGGTTCCATTTTGGGTACCTATTTTTGACCCACAGCCGTTTATACTTCCGTTGTTGCTTTAACATGTCCACCAGTCAGGGGTTGATGCCCCCTCTCAGCTTCGCGCGAAAACAATTGCCGCGGAAGCCACTTCGCAGTGTACTTGCCGCGCTTGCGGCTGGGCGGTTTTGACTCCGCGACTCAGGTCACCTCGGAGAGTGTTGGCATTGAGTGGCCAGGCCGCCACTTGACACAAATCAAAGGGAATTTCAAGACACAAAGGGCAACCAAACCAATTTCTGCGGAAGCACGTTTTCTACAAATGCACGTACCCCCCAAACCGGGCACCTTTTGCAGGGGTCTCTATTCTGCCAGGCATGACGAATCCCTCGATCGAAAGGCCCCCGCACGTTTTGCCTGAAGCTGTCCTTGTCTCTGCCTCATGGGAGCCAAGGGAAACGACACACGTCAAACGAACCTGGGCCAGACTTACCGGGGTCCTACCAAGGGCCAGACTCCCCCCCCAAAAAAAAAAAAGAATATGAAGGAAGAAGGTTGCCGCAACCCAAGACCAGCCTTTTCGATGGGGTAGACCTTAGTAGACGGCCCATTATCCTGCCTTTGTCACCAAAGTGGTTGGTTAAAGGGAAAGAATCCCGGTTTCTGACGATGAGCCGTAGAGGAAGGTGAGTCTTTGCCGTTCAACAACTCCCGAGGCGCACACCAGTAGTACAGGGGCACCGCCAACAGTCACCACATTCAGTCATGATATGCCCCACTTCAAGAGCAGGCGCAAGTCGGTGAAAAACATTCAACAAGCAGACCATCCAGCTTGCTCCCCTTTTGGCAGCGAGCGACTTCGACTGAAAACGACTTTTGGAGACCCTGTCTCGGCCCAGCAAGACACCCTGCAACCCATAAGCCAAGGGAGATGGAGGTCAAAACACTGGGAGGCCCGGCGACCTCTCTTCGGGTGGTTCGGCTCGGCCTGAAGCGTGCACAGAGCAAGGCCTTGCCCAAGAAACCCTAAAACTGATCCCTAACTACTTGGTGGCGATAGCAGTCTGCGCAACAAGTTGTTAACTTGTTGTGGGCGATTTGGAAATACACCTTCCCCCCAAAAGTTAGAGGTCACAGATCCAACCAAATAGCACCCTAGAACAAATCAACCCCCAAAGAAGAACGCTCCATGAAGTGCCGGGGTCCCCTTTCCAGAATGGAAATGCCGTCTATTCCTTTATCTGCGCCAAGCCGGGAAAACAAGAACATCTGTCCCTGAAACCATTGCAGCCTAGACAAAACGGAGGTGCAAAAGCATGAGGCAACCCGGATGTGGGGTGTGCGTTTGGGTCCCCTTTAGACCGGCCCAAACGCTCGTCTTCCGAAGCCGGCTCAAAAATCTTAGCTCTCAAATGATGTAACCATTGGCCACATCCAAAACCGAGCTGCCGTCTTCCATTTCAGTGTTTGTCCCCTGAAAACGAAAAAAAAAATATTTGAATCTAGCCCATGTCTAATATACCTGAGAAATGTAAAATCATTCAAAACAGACACCAGCTTTCTTACCTGAGGCGAAAAGCTGCGTCACTGTGCGAAACTCTGGACAAGGTTGGTTGGGTGGCCCACTAAGTGAAGTGGGGAGGCTTCGCGGAATGGCTGGATTTACCTTCGACAAACTGCAAACTAGTTTCCCAGTTTGTGCCCTCATTTGCAAAAGGTCAGCAAGTAAGAGGCTGAACAAAGCCAAATGAACAAACACCAGTGGGATAAATTATCGTAAGCCAAATCTGTCTCACACCCGTAGCCGTAGGGTCCCAACAACCCGCCAAGCACTTGCTCGAGACTAGATGCGAGAGATCTCAGCATCAACCGGGTGTGGCCGGCTCCACAAAAGCACGCACGCACACAGAACAAGAAGCCCAGCATCAAGTAGAGGACTAGGGTGGCAGTGGCAGTTGGTGTAAGTCTTGCGAACCTGCGCATCTTCCCGCCACCGCCGCCAGGACCCGCAACCGCCTCCAAGACCGGGGGTCGAAGTATATTATAGTTCCAGCAGAGTGCGAGCCAGTCGAACAGACATACTGTGCAACATCAGCCACAGGTGTTGGCAGAGTCCAAGACATGTTTGCATTGCTCTGTTGAAGCAGCTCGTGTCACTTGAGTTGCTCACTTGGCGTCACTTGAGCCACTTGGGTGCTTGGGGTTGCTTGAGATGATACTAGGCGTTCATCTTGGGACGCTTGGGTTTAACCACCAACCATCCTTGAACCTACGTACTCCAAACCTCCAAACACCACGCGTAGCTTTGCCCGTTGCCTGGACCAGGAAGGCCCCGAGAGCTCTGCAAGTTGCATGCATACGTCGCCGGTAAAAAGAACAAGGCAGAACGGTGGTCCTGTCCCCCAAAACCCCACCCCAAACCCACCAAATCAACACACACACACACACATGTAGCCAAAACCCCACCGCGGCCAGGTGAGGGAAAACAGACAAACAGCCCAGATCGCATCAAATCATCCATTTGGTTTGACCTCTTGGCCTCCAAAACAAGACTAGGCAGGGAAACCCTGGTTGATTTGTGTGTGTCTCAAAATGTGGGGACTTTCAAAATGGTTTCCTTTCGATTCCAGAAGGGGGGGTTCCCCAAGAAACGCACCCATTCAAATCGAACACTTCCGTTTAGGACACAGGAAAAACCGTCCGGTTTGCAGCAATGCCCAGTGTTGACACCTCGCCTCCGGCACGAGCTTGAAAAAGGTGGGGCCACCAGCATCCGTGGCGTCCGTGGTGACCCACCCGGTGATCCTCAGAAAACTTTGCAAGGGGTGTGGCGGAAGGACAGCTCTGGCGGTGAGGAAGGAGAGCCTCGGTGAGGTCCGGAGTTCATGTTCCCGGCTCCCACAGAGTTTCCGGCCGCGCCGATGTTCTTCCCCTGTCTTTTGTTTGATCTTTTCTCCGTCGCAAGCCGCGGAAAGCACCAACCCAAAATATCGGGGGTCTGGCAATGCACAATGGAGAATCATCCCGGCTTCCACCGGGATTCTCCGCAACCCCTTGATTTGTCCTAGTTGGGGCGGAAAACGCGCATACTCCCAAGAGAACTTCTTACACGTCACGGAACCTACACACGGACGTGTGGGATGGGCCAACCCCTTTGAACACATCTGCACAACCATATCTTCAACCACCTCCTTGTGCCTTCCCTTTGAAGACAACCAAGGCTTTGGTAAAACTTTTGCCCAACTACACCTGGATCTGTTCAGCCAAACTACAGAAATTTGTGCCGCCTCAACACCGTGTCAATCAAAGCTTGCCGTCTGGCGAAACTCCTGAAGGCAACCTTCTGAATCCTTGCCCCAAGTTCGTGCGGACAAATGCGCCTGGAGCAGTTCTTGACATGTCAACCTGCAACAAAACCGCGTGTGCTAATTTGCTTTGCGCGATTTCTCTCGAGGGTGTTGGTTCGAGACCCCTCGGGCCTTTTGAACCTACCATTGACAAACATGAATGATAGTATGTTCGGACCCAACTTCTGGTCACGTGCTTCAACAAAGCAAGAGGCTTGCTTAGGGACGTGCAGCATTAGGCTTCAACCTGCTATACCTGCTAGGCTTTTGTAGCAAACTTTAGTTGCCATACCCTTCGCAATCCCCTCACTTGTTTTCTTACGAGCCGCAGTCACCCCTCACATCCTCGCACACCATGTATACTTGCTGGCAGAGCCCGTGCGATAGAACTCCGTGCGAACGGTTTCGCCAAAAATCGCCATTTGGCTGCATTGCCGGCGTCCGGATGGAAATGATCACCGCATTTGTTTTGCCAAATTTGGACATCGTAGTTGCCTGAACCTTTCCTGGGCAACATAACTCGGGGTAATTTCCTTCAAGGGCCGCAAGGGCAATCCCCGTTCCAGTTCAGAAATTTGCACTTCTTAGCTGTGTGCAGGCCACTGCTGAAGTAACAATTGCTTACATTGCAACACATGGTTGCTTGTTGTTTTGGTTCCCTCATGTTTCCTCCCCTTTCAGTTTTACGCACTTCTAACCTTGCTCGGATGCAAACCAGCCTGAATTGGATTGGCCTTGTCCTAGAGTGCTTTGACAACTATGCCAGAATTGCCCTTCTGAAATTAAACAGTTAGGAAGGCTTTTCAAGCCAAACATGCGCCAAGTCTTAGTCGCAAATGGTCTCAGAGACTGTGCAAAAAAACACTTGACGTTGTGTACCCCCAAAAGCATTGGAGATCTTACCACTCCCACTGTGCCGTGTTGCTTGAAATGGCTGCAACCTTCGCGCCGCAGCAGCAGAAAAACCAGTTCAGGACCCAGTTCTGTGGCTGCAAAAAGTGGCTGGATGTTGACTGCTGAACCTCCAATACTCAAGAGGCTTGATGAGGCAAAACTAGATCCCCGGCACTCAGCTGTGGCATTTTGATGCTGCGAAGTCAAGTGAGCACATTCGACCAGCGCATTGTAACCAACATCCCTTGTTTGTTGGTATTTTACAAAGGAATCATCATTCAAGGGTTTCTTAGGTGGTGCAAAATTTCGTCCATCCACAGTATGACCCCGAATATGCACCCTGATGTTGAAAACGGAAACAATGCATCAAAATTCAGTGTTTCAACTTAAAACATGGCTGTGCCCGAAACTGGTGAGGCTATGTACCTTCGACGCAGGTACTATGGTACGATGATAGCAGCTTCTTTCAGGGTCACTACCCTTCATGGCCGGGCTCCCTACATGTCCCACTGCCCAAAAGGTGATGTTTACACTCACCACGAGGGGAATCATAGGGAACATTGTGGATTCCTGATCACTGAGACCGCACTTGGCCCTAAGAGTTCCACTTGCGGCTGTCGCCGTTGTAGTGCCCGGACTTGATCATGACAGGCATCCTGGCCACAGTGGACCAGGTCAACATGTCTGTGTGTGTGTGTGGGCGTGCGTGTGTGTCTATGTCTGCGTCTGCGCCTGTCTGTGCATGTGTGTGGGCGTGCGTGTGTGTCTGTGTCTGCGTCTGCGTCTGTCTGTGCGTGTGTGTGGGCGTGCGTGTGTGTCTGTGTCTGCGTCTGCGTCTGCCTGTGCGTGTGTGTAGCTGTGTGTGTGTGTGCCAGTGCATGTGTGCCTATTTGTGTGTGTGTGTGTGCGTTAGTGTTTGTGGTTGTTTTTCAGTTTAGGGTTGATTGAAAAGGAACCCCAAAACGAAACCACACTGCACTATTCGGGGCACCCCCTTAACATTGACACATACACACATGACGCCCAAAGAACTATTGTTTTTGAGAGGAATTTGCTCTTGGGATTACACCCCCTGGATTCCAAGTTGTTTTGCAGGAGAGTAGTGGCTTGGTTCTAGAGCTCTTGGCAAACCTGGCAAACAGCCTGTGCCGGTGGCAAGGGAAGTAGATGATCAAAGCAAACTTCACCCCCCCCCCCGACCTGCAGATGCCGTCAGTGGTGAGAATAGGCCCATCCTGGCACAACACTTGCGAGTTCAAGTGGGCTTCAGCTACTCTGTGAATGCCACGTTCCTGCGACGGCTGCTCGTTCAAGCCAGCAGCGGCAGCAGCAGCAGCAGCAGCAGCAGCAACCAACATGCTAGAACATTGGCTAATCTGAAGCCCCATGCAACCACCCCCAAATGCCCCGTCGCAGAACCAGGAGATTGACCCATAGCAGTTGCGGGAAACGTGCTCCAAGGGAGCCACGGCACACAGGTTAGGAAACTGGACATCGAACTTCTTGTGGATAGTGCCTTCAAAGGCAAAACTGGAGTCGCAGGACTAACAGGATTCCGCCAAGACAGTGGCTTGAAGAAAAAACCAGGTGCTCGAAGCGAAACCACCATGACATCAATGCAAACCCACGAGCAAAACAAATCAAGGGCTTTTCCCGGCCGCCTGCGCTGACAGCTCGATTGTTGGCAGTTTTGGTGATTTGATGTGTTCACGAATCGTTAAAAAAAAAAAGAAAAATCTTTATTTGGGTGACCCTAAATGGGTTGTAACACATGGGTCCTGGGGGTCCTGGGGGTCCTGGGATGCTACACACATGATGGTCCTTTGGTGCAAGCCATCGGAACCCAATCGAACATTGGGGTGCCTGGCGTTGGCTTCCCCGAGCCAAACAGAAAGCCATTCACTCTTGGGCAAGCGGGCCACTAGCGGGCCAGTCGCAGACTGCGGCCAACTCACTTTGGCAATCCACTAGAGTCCAAATGGTTTGCAAACACTGGCAAAATGACAAAGCGGCGGAAATTCAACCGCGAAACGAGCAACTTCCAACACAAACCGCCTGCTCCACAACGTCTCCGCACGACAGGCTTGCGACAACCTGTCGATAGATTCGCGGCTCGAGGCGTGCAAAACTCGCATTGGCGGCACCAAAACCCAAGTCCAAGACTACAGGCTGATCCCCCATTCTTATCACATGATATTCTAGTCAGGGTTGATCCCATACCCAAAAAAGCAAAATCCCCCGCGCCATTTTTGGAAACCTCAACCCCTTAAACAAGCACAGTTTTCCCAAATCCCTCTTGCTAAAAAAGGGCCGTGCTTTTGGTGGGCGAATTCCGGGCGAGCGGGTCCCTGCCGTCTGCCATCGGCTCGGTTCGGGTGCGGCTTCAGCTCTGAGGCAGAAGCTTCGCTGTCCAACTCTATCGCCGAGCGAACCAGGATGTCCTACGAACCATTTGGGTGTGGCTCAAACTTAGAGAGCTAGGGGCAAACCGCAGGTGTTTCCATGTTTCGACTTACCAGGGTTCCATTTTGGAACCGGGCTTTTGAGCCACAGCCATTTGAACCTTTCTGCAGGGAACTCTCAACCCCCCATAAGGGGGAGATTCCCGAACATGCCAGTATCACAGAAGTGGGGATAACCCCCCAGTGATCCCACAAACCTGGTCCCTATCTTTAGCATTAGACACCCTTACTCCAAATACCCAGTTAACAGAAGGTGTTCCCCAATTGGAGAACCGTGTATTTCCAAATGTACCAAACAGTTGGTATTTGGAGTGGAACACGCCAATGCGTTGCAGTGTCTCAGTCCTTCCCACCATCATAGATTGCCTGGCTCGAGAAAGAGACCGTCACTTGGTGGCTGTGCCCTCAGCTCAAAAAAAAACAATGTGGCTCGGGAAAACACAATGTCATCTCCGCCAAAAAGTTCAATGTCAACGATCAAAATAGCAATGGAACATGCCCAATAGTTTCTCGGTAAGCTGGGAGGTGGGGGGGAAAGTAGTCTTAAACGGTCATTATTGCTTGGATACATGTTTGGAGGCGTGCCCATGCAAAGTCCGAGCTATCCACTTGCTAAGATGGCTTTCCACTGCCCCCAAGCGACTAGCCCCAAGGGATTACTGGGCTACACAACCCCACACCACACAGCCACGAATAAAGGATAATTATGTACCTCATTGTCCCACTGGTAGCTTCGGTTTGGTATACGCCACTTCGCTGTGCTAGGCATCCTGCCCTCCATTGCGGCGCGTGCGTGCGGATCAAGTACCTCACCAAGGCACGAGACCCTCCTTGCGGTCTCGTGCAGTCTCTCTCTGTCCACGCCGCACCAAACAAGTCGAAACCCGGTATAACAAGGAAAAGAAGTCCGAAACGTTGAGATAACCCATTTGGGTAGGGCTCTTGAAAATAGGAGGACCTAAAAAGTGTGGTGTCCCTTTTAGTTTGCCATGTTTGCCTTGAAACGAATCTGAGAAAGCGGGCACACTTACATTGCCAAGGCTTGGTAACGTTCACCCTGGATTCATAAAGCCCTGGCTGATTCATGGGGTCTCCTGCGAGGGCAGATCAACCAAAAGCAGCTGACAGATCTCATAGGAGACGCAGACCCATCAACAGCTGGCCGTCGCAAGGAATTGGAATGCGCCAACCTCTAAAGCTCAAGGCGGCAGCTCAGATTCAAAGCGCCCCAAACTTAAAGAAAACAAATGAGGCCAGTCAAAAAGTCCGTTGGTTCTCTGAAACGTATGGGAACTTGAGCTCATATGTTTGGGACAAGTCCCGATTTCTAAGGGTAGCATGAGGGCCCGGATACACTTGCGCCAGTAAACGTCACTCAGTACCACCTCATGAAAAATCGAATCCCGCAGGCGGCTTTTTTGCCCGTTGTGCAAACAAACTAACTTTGTGTCGATTTGGTGTGGGTTCGTGGCAAAACACACACATGTCCCACCGAGAAGTTGTTCAGGTCAAAAGCTTTGCCCAAAAACCACCCAAGTTTGAGTGCCCCCATTCACACTTGGGCGCCGGTCAACATAGGGAACCCAAATTGGTGGGATTCCCTTTTTGACGCGTCTTGTTTCCACAAACCTCAAACAGAGGGGTGCTCTCAAAGGCACGCGCACACACACACACACACACGCACGCACGCACGCACGCACGCACGCACGCACGCGCGCACGCGGCACGCACGCACGCGCGCACGCACGCGCGCACGCACGCACGCACGCGCACGACGCACACGACGCACGCACGCACACGCACGCACGCACGCGCACGCGCGACGCACGCACGCGCACGCGCACGCGCACACGCACGCACGCACGCACGCGCACGCACGCACGCACGCACGCACGCACGCACGCACGCACGCACGCACGCACGCACGCACGCACGCACCACGCACGCACGCACGCACGCACGCACGCACGCACGCACGCACGCACGCACGCACGCACGCACGCACGCACGCACGCACGCACGCACGCACGCACCCGCACTAACCCGCACGCACGCACGCAGGCACGCAAACACAAACACACACACAAACATAATCACATATGTATTTATATATATATATACGGTACCCCCCAAAAAAAACACACCCCAAGAGAATTTGACGGTATTTACAATACTTTTGTGTGATTTCCACCCCCTTTTCAGTCCCTCCAATTTCGACCTCTTTCAGGCACTCCAACTTTGACCCCTTCAAAATGCTTTAAAGCGCTTAAAAGCACTCTTGGATTCAAGATTCAAGATTCCCAGGACTCTGGATTTGGAATCTTGAATCCAATCCCAACCCCCCCAAATGCTTTAAAGCACTTTAAAGCACTTTTGGACTCAAGATTCAAGATTCAAGATTCCCAGGACTCTAGATTTGGAATCTTGAATCCAGCTTCCCCCACCCAAAATGCTTTAAAGCGCTTTACAGCGTTTTCAGCCAGATGGCTCTTGGATTCAAGATTCCAGATCTAGAGTCCTGAAAATCTTGAATCTTGAATCTTGAATCCAAAATTGCTTTAAAGCGCTTTAAAGCGTTTTCGGGGGTGCCAGACTGGAGTCAAGATTCCAGATCTAGAGTCCTGAGAATCAATCTTGAATCTTGAGTCCAAAAATGCTTTAAAACGCGTTAAAGTGTTTTGGGGAGGGCAGACTAATAAAGCATCTGCTTTCATCCATTCCTGTTTGGGTGTGGACCTTCATCATCCTTTGGGCTTGTGTACCATCCGCAGCTTAACTGCCAAATCCTGACATCTAGTCTCATTCTGTCACATCACCATGGACAAAGTGAATGTGTCGGGTACCGTGGGCCTCCTCCGAGATGGCAGAGCCTTCATCACCTTGGAACGTGAGATCGCTCATGCCTCGTCAGATGATGCGCCGAATTCCAAAGGATGCAATTTCCTCCATTGAGAAGGGCATTCGTGATGGTCACGTTCACGTTCACCCATCTCGCCTGCCTCTCAAACGACAGGTGCTGACATCCTTGATGGCCAACATTCAGCTTGGTCTTCAGCTCCAGCCTCGTGGTCTGCCTCTGGCGCCGCAAACCTGGCGCTGGAAAACATTGCCGAGACCGAGGGTGGCCATGCCGCAAACCTGGCGCTGGAAAACATTGTCGAGACAGAGGGTGGCCACGCGGAGCAAGATGGGAATCCCAATGCCAGCATCGAGGCCAACGACGTCGGGGAGTCTAGTGAGGCCAACTGCACGGACGAGTCCGAAGTCGAAGCCGAGGGCGGCGGCATCTACGATGAGGATGGGGAGTCTCATCTCGGAAGAAAAGGTTGTCACCCACCCCGTGTTCATCGAGCTGGAGCTGGAGAAGAATGCCCTCAGTGGCCGCGTTGTCAACCTCGAAGACTCCTTGTCCGAAAAGGAATACCAGATAGGCGTGCTGACTGCCGAGGCCGCCGAGGCGCAGAAGCTTGAGGAGGAAGTGGCCTTTCTAAAGACCCAGGCGGCCAAAAAGCAGAAGACCAGCCACTAGCCACTGTACATAGTGTAATGTACCAGGGTCAATCGATTTGTTTGGTTGGAGTATGTGTGGAATGGCAGTGCAAGCAGAGGCAAAAAAAACACAGAATGCAGCTGTCCGCTTTCAGACACACAGCCCAGCAGAGTGCACATTCTCCCTAGCAATCCTGGATCAAAAAGAACTTAGCCGCAGTAACTCACTCCTATCCCTGTGGCTATAATGGCATTGTTGGATGAAGCAGTGGCCCAGTAAAGTCTGACACTGGTCTACTAGAAGCGTCTGTCATGCCTGACAACAAAGTCTTAATGAATCATCTGCCAACATTGTGACATGAGCCCATTTCTGGTAACATCTGTCTCAAATGACCTGACTCCCCTTGCAAAACCCGTGGGCGCGGGTTTGGGAAGGAAGTTGCACATATATATATATATATATATATTTAAAATATATATATATATAATACACACACAAACACAATGTGGCGCATGTCCACCCCTGGCGGAAGCCGGCGTCGCTTTTGTTCGCTAGGTTCCCAGCTGTGGCCCTCCAGCCCTGGAAGCATCGGCTGTCACCCAGCCACTGGGCTGGATGGGCATGCGAATGCACCTCGGTCCATTCGATTCGAGGCACTGGAAAACCTGAAATTCGAATTGGGTTTCTCGTCATGGGCTACCCCTTTAGGGCTTCCTTTTTGGGGGTGCGGTTCCTGAAGTGGTGGATTTTCTTTTGGTTTCCACCCCCAAAAAGGGTAACCTCAACACAAACACACACTCAAAGGAGTATGAACTCCAACTGCCCTTTGGTGGACATCAGCATTTGGTCGGGTGTCCACTGTTCAAGGGGGCTCCCCATTAAAATGTGTCGCCTAAAGAGGAATCAGGCCAAAAAACATGGAACCCAAGCAGGCGTCCCATCCCGTGGTGCCGCGAGCGCGGAACCGCAATTCCAGGGGTTGCTGGGATTCCTCCTGGGCCTATTCTTCTGAGTTTCTCCTCATGGAAGATACAATACGTCCCGTAGTGATAGATTCCCTTAAAATCCAACCAAAATCACATAATATGGTCTTAAGCAAATGGAAGTTCTTGACATGAAATTTAGGAGGGTTTTTGTGGGGGAAATGTGAAGCTTTTGTTGGGCCTCCCAAGTCTTGCGACGCCGGGGAGCCTTGTGTCAGTGGACTCCAGAAGCAACCGTGGCCCGGTGAAAGGGCGAGAAAGGGCGAATCCACGTTTGTTGGGCGGGGTTGGGGGAGTTGAGGCGGGGGTGGGGGAGTTTGGAGGGGTTGATGGGTAAGCTAGGAACCATGAGTTTAAGCGAACATGTCGTATTGTTCAAAAGGTTAAAAGGGGTGAGAAGGGCCACAAGAAGTGGCCAACAAAATACAACTCATGGGTTTGGGTGGTGGACAATGAGACACCCGACCAGGAGACCCCAACGGCTTTCATTTCGTCTTTGCGAGCTGTGCGCAACTGGACAAAACTGCTACAGTTCCCTGAACAAGAACCCTTATCATGTTTGTCGAAAAACCATATTACATGCGCCACGGTCAAAAGTACGTGTTCCCTTCCAGAGGGGAATTTGACCCCGCTTTTTGCTGGGAAATCTGGTGAGTGCACCCATGTCGCACCTACTAAAACGGTCAGTATCTGGGGTTTGGGCACTCCCTCGAAATCTGAGGCTCCGTGCCCCTGGCCCTTGCCCATGGTGAGCACTCGCGGCTTGCCCTGGCGAAATCAGCCACGCTGCGATTTTTCTTCCGAGCCGACATGGCAAGCGCCTAGCTGGTGCTACGAAAATCTGCCAAAGGGACCTCGCTTCAGGCTGGGGGGGGGGATAAACTCCAAGACTAGATGCCCCATCATTTCATGGCAACCCTGGAACATTCGGGAAAGTACAGAGTTCGCCCATTTGCTGGAAACCATTGAACATTGGGGAAAGTACAGCGGGGTGAATATGGCAAGTGGGAAGCAAGGAAATCTCAGAAACCGTGATTTGTGATTTACGTCCCATACTTGATTTGCTTTTTAGGGTACCTAGATGGAACCAACGAAACTCGCAATTGTGTGGTAAGGGAACGAGTCCCTTGTCCGGAATCGAGTAACTTTAGGGTCTGGGGCTCGGCATGGGTCAGCCAAGGTGTGCCGTTTTGCTCGCCCAGAGCTAGCGGCACAAGGGAGAACATGCGTGCCTTGCGAGGTTGTTCCATGTCAACTTCGACTTCATCTGAAAAGACGGCGCTAATCAAGTTTGGGCTTTCACCTTTTCGCAGGAACATGGTGGATTCGAGGGGACGCCTCTGAATTAGTCCTGCCCTCTCAATGTGAAGATGACATTGCCACCCCTCGCCCCCAGCAAGAACCAGGCGTTCAAACCCCCTCCAAACCACCAATCAGGGACCGTGTTTGTTTCTACCCCCCGCCAAGCCAAAGGAACAGTCGAAAAGCTGGTTCCCGGTTGGAAAAACAGTCCCCCCCCCAAAAAAAAAAACATAAAATAACGCAACCGCCTTTTGCTGGAAGTAGTCCCCAGCCACCTCGGGGGCACTCGGCAGCTCGACTCGCCGCATCTGACTCCAAACTCCTGTGAGGCATGGTCCCAACCGACATCGGATTTTGGTGAACAACCACCTTCCTACACGTGTGACACGTGACATCCCGCTTACAGTAAATGCTGGTGTATGTTTGACTGTTGCTCCTGTGGGTCATGCTATTGTGCTCAAGGAAGCCTGTCTAAGTTTCCAGCCAGCAATCCTAGTATCGAGTTACGTGGTCAACAAAAGTGGTCCACCCACTGGGCGGGATAACCATCCAAACCAACCCGAAACAATGTCCATCATGGACTAAAAGTCCCAAAGTCCAAGACCATGTCCAATGTAAACGAAATGTTGTTGGGCGACCACGGCACATCTGGATGTTTGTTTGCTTGCTTGCTTTTTTTGGGTCCTCGCTCGGTGCCTTTTTGGGGGATTTTGTTTCTGGCTTGGCGCTTGCTGTATCCTTGGTCGAAACTCCCTTGGGCCACGGTCATGGCAAAAAGAATCCTGGTCCAACCTCCCGTTGATGCTCCCACGGAGCCTTTCGGCATCATGATTGAGGTTTGAACGTGCCAAGACCCAGTTGTTGCCTCTGCCACCATCTAGTTGCCCAGTGACCCTGGTGGAAAAGAGGAAAGCATTTGTGGGGTTGACCGGCCTACTAAGCAAAAAATGCATCATGCCTCTTTTGGCGTCAGCGTTGGGCGCTCAGGCTATGTATGTGTCAGAATAGGATTTTTGCTTTCGCTGCACTGGTCTCTCAACTGAAAAGGATCCCTCAAACAAGACACGCCCACATACCCCATTTTGGAAACGGTAATTCTTTCATGGATCTGCAGGCAATATCCATGCGCTAGGCTATGTAAACACAAACCCATGAGGCTCTCTTTCAAAAGTTGTCCCGCCCCCTCCCGCCAAAAAAAACTAGAACCACGGGTGGCCCGAAAGCATAATGGAAAGTGACCAAATACCAGCAAAGTGAGCCGACATGCAGGGGTGCCAGTGCAGTGGTTGCTCAAGAGTTGCTGCGCGCGCGCGCGCGTGTGTGTGTGTGGGTGTATGTGTGTGTGTGTGTGTGCACGTGTGTGTGTGTGTGTGTGTACGTGTATGCGTGCGTGCGCGTGTGGCGCGCGTGCTACCGCGAATATCTACAAAGTTTGCTCCTCTGTGACTGATAAGCTTCGGTGTTGCGAGCTCTATACAAGTGTTGCTCTCCGCAAGTGCTCGGCCCAAGTGTTCAGCGCAAGTTGCTCTGCAGGCGCAAGTGCTCTAAGCAAGTTGCGATGCGCAAGCGCTACGCAAAGGTATGCTGCGCAAGCTCGGGACAAATTTCTATGAGCAAGTTCTCCGAGCAAGTTCTCTGCGTGCAGCGCTGACCGGAACATGGCAACCTTTCGATTTGAGCCGGAGCTACGAATGCACCCTTTGTGAGCCACTTTCGCACTGCTGACTTTCTAACTTAAAGGCCGCGGAGACCAAGCAGGATTCGAGCCCGGGGCCGGTCACTGCCAAGAGCAGGCGCGTAACCACGAGACAAACTCTCAAGCCCGCGTTCCGACTTGAAAAAGTAGCATTTTACCAGCATTTCGTGCGATCCACCACGCCAATCCTCGCAGAGGGTCGCGCGGGCAAGTCAGAAATCGTCACGTCGACCACGCCAATCCCCGCAGAGGGTCGCGCGGGCACCTCAGAAATCGTAAAAAGTCCTCAATTTTTTGAAATCGTGAAAAGTTCTCAGTTTTTGGGCATCGACCACGCCAATCCCCGCAGAGGGTGTCATTTTCGCAGGGTGGGTTCGGTCCCCGCCGCGCCGCCTTAAGAGACTAACTAATTACTTTCGAGCCGAAATGTCTCGTGCAAGTTTGGCTGCGTGATATCTCGTGCAAGTTGCTCTCGTGCAAGTTAGTTGGCTCGTGCAAGTTGGCTCGTGTAAGTTGGCTCGTGCAAGTTGGCTCGTGCAAGTTGGCTCGTGCAAGTTGGCTCGTGCAAGTTGGCTCGTGTAAGTTGGCTCGTGCAAGTTGGCTCGTGCAAGTTGACTCGTGCAAGTTAGCTCGTGTAAGTTTGGCTGTGCGATAAGGCTGCTGCAAGTTGGCTCGTGCAAGTTTAGCTGTGTGATAAGCCTGGCGATTTTACCGGAAGAACCCTTCGCAATGCTTTCGGGAAAAACACAAAAAGCAGATTGAGGCAAAGCCATCGGCGTCCTTTGGTCTACCAACCCAAAGGGTGACGTCCTTTTGCTGCTTTGCGGAAGTCCCAAGAGAACCAACCTGAGCTCGGCTCCCCTCGGCTCCCCTCGGCTCCCCTTGGCCCCGAGCCGACCGGGCAATCTCCACGCTGCAGAGGCTGATGCCACTGCGCACAATCAGCTCCTCGGGTTTTGTTCCCCCCAGTCTAGTTTTAGGGTACCCCCCCCAACAAAAAGGTGGTTTGCCGCTTGGTGTGCTGTTAAGGTCACGAAGAAACAGGTACACTGAAGAAAAGACACCCCTCATGTATGGATGTTGTGTGAAACGTGTGCAGCGGTGAGTTGGAGATGTGATAAATCCAACTCTAAACTCTAAGGTACAAGTCTAAGGGAACCGCCAAGTTCAACGAAATAACCCTAAAAGCGGAAATATAGGGACCCTGTGAATGTCAGGCTCGTTAAAAAAAAAAAAAAAAAAAAGTTGGTGGTTCCTTCTGTAAAGTAAGTTGGACCAGGCTTTGTTTTTGGAATCGGCATGCTCTTTGCCAAACAAAACTCTGAGCTGTTGAAAATGGAGGCTTGGCTAGTCGCAGACCATAATACTTATAGGGAAACCACTGCAAAGGGGACCCCTTACCTAACCCAAAACAAGGATGAATTGCTGCCTTTGAACAACCCAGATCATTGTCCTAAGCAATCCTGGTACCAAAGAATTCTGGGCCGACCACGTGCCGCATCAATTTGCAGTTGGGGCTGCTTACTAACCTGCTACAGTTGGGCGTTCATTGTTCCAACAAACCCCTCCGCCTCAAAACCCAAACAGTCCCTTGACCTTTTGAGCATAGGTCCTCAGTTGCCCCAAAGGACCTGGAAGCAAAAAGGGTTGACCTTTTAGGGCCATGACGTGGACCAACACAGATAAAACCAAAAGGCCAAGAAGTCGGCTTTGGACAAGTGAGAGGTTCGATAGCTAAGCATTCCCACCCTAAAACTCAAACGCCCAGTGGCCATTGAAAAAAAGGCATCCATTTTTGGTTAAGGGCAAAGGGGAACCCTTCCCAGAGAAAAGTTGAGAAAAAGGTCGGAATCCACTGTGCAACTGGGAAACGCCTCCCCAAACCCGAGCGAGCGATCTACCCGACAGCTCTCTCTCGCCTCTCGCAAGTTGCTGCGGACGCGCCACCAACCACCTCGCAGGCGCTGAGCCTATCAGACCTTCTCTGAGGGAAATGGCAAACCCCCCTACCTTGAAGGGGAAAAGGGTCCAAACAAAGGGGAAACATTCGTTTCGGACGGGGCGTGATTCCATTCTTTCCCCCCCACCTCGGTAGCTCTTGCCCCACGCCACGGGCTCATTGCGCCTCGATGCGTGGCTCGCTATGTGGCCTCTTGAAGCGTCGGTGGGAAAGCATCATCCTTTGGGCCATGTCACTTAGTGAGTTTGGGAATGCTGAAAGGGGGAACCCTGAAACAGGATGCCCAGTATCATGTTGGAACAACCAACAGATTGCGTTGAAGGACATGTACCCTTAGAATTTAGGTCCACCAAGATGGTTCCATGGCCACTTGGGGTAGGGACCCAACAAATGCAACACACATGGGACCCTCTAACTACCCATTGAGGATCTTCTAACTACCCATTGAGGATCTTCAAGATCATGGTTTGTGTCCCAGTCGCAAGGGTGTTCCCGCCACTTATCTTGTTTGCCCCTGACATTTTAGCATGGGAAGCCCATAGTTTTTCCAGTGTACTCTTAAAAAGTCGGGGCATGTTGGCTTATGTTTGTTTAGTTTCCCATTTCAAAAGTGGCTTTACGGGTCGGTTCTGCTGGCCCGCGCTCGACAGGCTCACCCTCCGAGATGTAGCTGCAAGCGTCGTCGTCATCCTGTCGCCGGGAAACGAGTCGGATCATAGCCAAGGTGCGGAAGACAGGGTTGGCGGCAAAACATGGATGTTCCTCAACTTGTTTGGTTGTTGGTTTGAAATGGGAACCAACAAGAAACAACACCACATGGTTTGCAAAACATGGAGCCAACTTCTTTACTGTTGTTTCTTGTTGGTTCCCATTTCAATGCATGCAAACAGCGTTTGACCCCTATCCAGATACAGACCCACATGTTCAGCCAGATCCCTTTTTTGGCCCCTTTGTCGGGAACCAAGGTAGCATGTTTAAGCCAGAGGCCTAAATTGCCCCAGCACTTGAAGCAAAACAGTCACGGACAGGAAGGACATTGGCCACGGGCGTCTTTGAGGGCCCTGTTTGGGGTTGGTCTAGCGGAAAGACCAAGGGAAATCACTCACTTCGGTCTGGTTGGCGAGTTATGGCGAGCTAAAGGGAGGCGAACCACTACAAACCTTCAAAAGGTCGCTCCATCCTGGGACCCTTTGGAGAGGGGCCATGGTCAATATTCATTATGTGCCCGGCTTGGTGAGAACCCCCATGTCCTGAGGGCAATTGGGTGAGACATGGCACCCCCTTTACTAGAGAGTATGAGGGTGTCGTTTTTTAGGGACCCCCAAAATGGTGTTGTTTTCCCCGTGTATTCCCTTGTCGGGTACCCTCCAAAAAGGACTGACCCATATGCCTTTGCCCCGCAAAATACGGCGGATTGCCCGAGGTCGTGCCTCCTCGTCCACATTGCCTGCAACTGAGGGCTGTTGGACGGGTTTCCTTACAACGGGACCCTCAAACTAGACGTAAAAATGGGGACTAACCCATAATTGTGTGTGTGTGTGACAACCCAACTCTTAAGAGTAGTTTGAGGGTCCAGGTGAGTGCAAAAACCTGATCAAACTGGGCCCCTGGAATCCTGCCAGGCCCACCAGTGAAAAACCAGGGGATCATTTAAACATCTGGTCACTGTGAAACCTGAGGAAGAGGCTTGCCACAGTCGGGTTGCCATCCCTGATAAACCAGCGGTCTGAAAATCGCACCTTATCTGTGTCCGAAAGCTTAGGTCTCCCGTTCGGGTGCGTCAAATCCAAAAGCAAACTCCCGCGCCCGTGGCGATTCTTGTCTTTTCCCCGTGAACTCTGGCTGTTAGAGCCGCAAAACCGCGCACCAACTTGGCCTTCCAGGTCGCCTGTTTTGGAGACCTCCCCGTTAGTTGGGAACCACAGCTCAGCTCGTGTGCCGGAGCTCCAAGAGGTTGCCAAAAATAAAAACCGACAACTCCTCCCACCCTCGTTTGGTTCCTGAATTCTTCAAATATGCTGGCGAAAATATCAAGGATCCTCGGCGCATTCTTTCGTGGCGCTAGCGCCACTTCCGGCTTCCTCAAAGGCCTTGACAAGGCTCTGGGATCTAGTCTTGGGACCAAGGGCATCCTGTGGAAAAGCCGTGAAAGCAAATCCTGTTTTGGGCCATAGTGGGGTTGATCCGGTGAGCATACTTGTTTGCTTGGCTTACCAGAAATGTGACACTTGGGTCTTCGGAGCTTAACCGCCCCTTATTTGCTCCTAGACTGCTGCTTCGTCCCGTACACTTTGCCCTAAAAACAGCCACAGTTGAAGGGTGGCGATCCAGGCTCCATGTTTGTTGGGGCTCACCTGACTTCCTTGTTCTCAGCACAGGAATGACCCCGAACTGAGCCATGCCTTGTGGTTTCCTAGGAGATCCCCTTGGTTCCCCCCAAAGTACGCTGACCCCATATAAGTGGGTTCAAAACGCATGGGGTCCTTTTAGGGCTTCGGGTCCCCGGAGTAGAACGCTACCGACGTGTTCTGATTGTTCGCCCTGCACAAACTCTCGCTTCCTCTGACTCGGGGGCTGATCAAAAAAGATCCTTTCCACGGGACGACCATTGGAAGGCAATCCACCAAAAGATCATCTTACACTTCCCAAATGGCAAAAAAGAAGGGGTCATTTGCCAAATGCCAGGACTATCTTTGGGGGCCGAAGAACATCTTCCTCCACCCCCCCTCGTCTTCCCCATCCGCACCTTCCCAGCGCGGGGGCTTGAAGAGCTGCGTCTCGCAGTGCTTCGAGTCTACGGCCTCTCCGGTGTCCCGGTTTCCCGGCAGCAAGGAAAGGAGGCGAGATTGGCTCCAAGTACCCACTTGGGGGTCTTTCTTTCAGGTTGGACCCCCCCTTTTTAAAATAACAAGAAAGGGGGTACCCTCAAAAAAGTACGGGAAAGCCGGACTAAGAGAGGTATTGCCATGTTTGCACGACATGTTTAAGGGTATTGAGGGCCCATGCACTCCTTGTCTTTATCACTCTCTCGAAGTCTTTTCGGCCAAAGATGCCACGCCTTTGGCAGCGAAACGGGTTCAATTCTCGCGCCTTGAGGCGGTCGTCCGGCGGTGGCAGTGTCAACTCCTGCGGGGAAAGCACCCGAAATCGTTTCGAGATACTCACTTGGTGTATCCCTTTGACCACTTGATGTTCATGGGGCCTTCCTAAACATCACTCCTACGGGAAATTCCGGGGGAAAAGAGAGGGGTCCCGAGTGGTGATGGCTTTTGAAACGGGGCCCCAAAATAGAAGTTCCAAATGCTTTGCAAGCTTGTTGTGCAAAAATGGGCTCCGAACAAGAGACATTCCAACCTGAACAAAGGAGGAGGAACCATGGGCAAGCAGAAGGCAACGCTTCGTGTCAACTTTGGACTCATCCAGGACCATACAAATTAGGCGGATTCATCCATACCGGGGATCGGATCCTCTCACTAGGAATCTGAATCCTCCAAATAACTCCGACGTTCACACGCAACATCACCTTTTGGTTGCCAACTTTAATCAACAGCTTTTCGGGTGTACCCAACTAAACCCCTCCCCCCCCCCGAAAGAAAAAACAAACAAACCTAGACGCTGGTGGCATCCCCGACAGCAACCAGAGCCCTTCGGAGCCCGAAGCCAGTCTGAACCCACTTCCCACAGCTCCAGACTCCGGAGCACCTGACGGCCTAGCTTTCAGCCGGGGGGGAAGTAGAATTTACAAAAATGGGACCCCGTTAACTCGTTGGCAAACAGAAGTTTACATGCCATCCACAAAAAAAAGGAAAGAAAAGGCTTGAAGAAGAAAGTTAAATTAGATCTGACAATAGACAAGGTTTTCACAAATTTACTGAAAAACTAAACAGAATGTTGAAACAATCACATCAGATGAAGATAGTGTTGAAGCGGCCATTTCCCAGCTGTCACGCTTGCGCAAGCTTGCGCGCTTGCTCCTCGCGGATGACCTCTCGGCACATGAGGAGTGGGAACAGGCCATAGACATTCTGCTCTGGTTCCTTGCGAGAGACGCGGTCAAAACATAGTGGGTCGAGCGCAGGGTTGAACCAAGCCGCCGTTCAAACGTGTTTTCACACCCGCTGTCTCAACAATCTCCGCATGGTTGCGTTTTTCTTTACAGGGGCCAGGGTCTGGTTCAAGACACCTGCTGCAACATTCTGCCGGAAGAAAGGGGCTCGGTGGTTTGGCGGGGATTGAGGAGCTTTTGGAGCCTATTGGAAAACTCGCTCCGCCTGTCCACTCCAACATGATTGGAAAATGGTGATGTAAACAACCAACCCTTGGCCCGAAAAGGGAAAGCAAAAGGTTGCTTAAGCAATAGACGTTGCAAGCTGGCCCAACATTGGGTTTGACGTTGTCATGGCACACACACACACACGCACACACACACACACACACACACACACACACACACACACACACACAGGCGCGCACGCACGCACGCACGCACGCACGCACGCACGCACGCACGCACGCACGCACGCACGCATGCACGCACACACAGACACACAGACACACACACAGACACACAGACACACAGACACACAGACACACAGACACACAGACACAGACACAGACACAGACACACACACACACAGAGACACAGACACAGACACAGACACAGACACAGACACAGACACAAACACAAACACACACACACACACACACACACACACACACACACACACACACACAGCTCCCGTGGAGGGCAAGGGAAACTTGCGTTCCATTATTGTGTTCCACGTCCCGCAACCAAAGTGACTGGTGCCCATCTAGATTTGTTACCACTATTCCACGGTTCACACCGGGTGGCTCAATAAAGAATAACTCAGGGATTCCTGAAAACAGCGGCTCCCTAGATAGTCAACTTTTCGGCTTTCTCCAAACACAACAAACCCTCGTCGCTGGTCGCAGTTGATGGCGGAAAAAATCGCAACTGGTAATCTAGGTGCGCCTGCAAAATGGCTTAGACCTGTGATTCCGCTTCAGAAATTCAAAGGGCCCGCGATTTCTGAGCATCTTGCTCATGAACAGTGGGGAAGAAGAGGAAACCCTGCCCCATTTTGGCGAAAACCTCTTCCTTGGGTTGAACACCCCGGTCGTGAGGTGGAGCTACATCCGGGGTCAACATACAACTCCAAAAGTGAACGTTCCTCGTCTTCTTGCAGCCCACTCAAAAGCCCTCCAACGATGAAGAATCACGTAGCGCAACAACAGTCGCGAACTTTGGCTGTGGTTCATGTGATACGTACGTTTACAACCACCTCTCCGAATACTCATCTTACAGTACACTTGTTGCTTTTGCTTGTTGAAGGGGGGGGGTGGTCGGGTTGACCCACTGCGGGCTGCCAAAAGCAGGCATACAAATCCAACTTAATTGTCCTTGTAGCCCTGCTAGGGGGGATTCACTCACTTTAGAAAGGGTTCCTCAGATTAGTTTTTGTGGCTCTTTATGTCAAGGATGCTTCCATGTATCCGTTCAACCCACAAAAAAAGGAGAGACTGATCTCAGCATGGACAAAAAGTGATGTTTTAAACCACCTTAAACGAAAACGGTAATTAAGGACCCGCCTCCCCCTTCCAAGACCCGGCTGAGCCAGTGGAGAGGCGATACTCAAGGGCCAGGCCCACGCGGCAGAGTCGAAGCTCGGCGACATCGGTCTCAGAAACACTTTAGGATATCCAACGCGTTGGGCCACACATGGGCCCAGTGAATCGTTCTTGCTTTGCTTTGGGGCAACAAGGGCGCTCCGCGCGGCTTCAGAAGTTCACGCACAGACTTTGTTCCAGCCCGGTCCCAAAACAGCTCGCAACCCAGACTCTTTAGTTGGAAGCCCTGGCAGTCCTTCGCATTGCATGGGGGTGGCTACGGGCAAGTTGAGGGTTGTGTTCAAGGTAAACTTCAAGAGCGCAAGGACTTCGCCGTGGTTTGCAGAAGTTGCGCCAAAGGTGTTACTTGGAGTTTCTTGCGTGGACACAAGTAAATTACAGAATCCTGTCGACAATTTAGAGAATCCCCATCTTGCCCAAAATGGACTCTAGACAAAGAAGACTGTTCTGACTGAACATCATGCGTCCCACGGTTTTTTCCAACGGCACTGGGCGCTGCGCCTGAGGCCTTTGGCCTCTGCGCCATTGGCATTTGCACGGCTGAGGCAAGAGAGCCACGGCACTTCACACAAAAGCCAAGAAAGAGGACCACATGCGCCAACTCAGGAAGTTCTGCCTGCCGGGCGGCAGGGGTGTTGCAAGCCCGAGAACCTTATGCGAGACAGGCACTTAGCGGCCCATTTGGGGTGGCTTCGCGTACGTGCGCGCAGGCCTTCGGACTTGCGCCGCGCCATCCTGCTTGAATGTGCGTGTCGCGCTTGCCGGGCAACAAAGCGCTACGGACGCCTTTGGCGCTCCTGCTTTGTCCGAAGTCTTCAGGTCAAATGCGAACGCCCCTCCTTCCCCCTGGAAAGATTGGGAAGGAACCCTTTTAGAGGCTCTGATCACAGGCGTCTTCTCGAACTACAACATTGAGGCAACTGCGCAGCATGCCACCATGGCGCATTTGGCCGTTGCGCTTCCGTTTTAGAAGTGACGGGCTAGGATCCGCAGCACGTTACCAGCGCATGAGGTTTGGTTAAGCTTCCCACTTTCCCTGAAACCTCCCTGGTGCAGATTCAAAACCAAACACACCCAGGGCCGCCTTTGGAATCCTAGGGACGCCCAGTCACCATCGCGGGTTTCAGGGGACCGGGGGGGAGCTCTTCCTGATTTGGGAGTATTCTGGAAAATTGAATGGGTACTGGGTGGAGATCATCAAGCGTGGGGGCTACGATGCGGATGCCACGCCCTACTTCTTCGACACCTGAGGGGCCCTGCAAAATCCGTCCTCCAAATTCTCCGAGTTTAGGCCTTACATGGTCTCCGCCAGGGTCCGACTCGACAGGGCCCGACTCGCTTTGACATGTGACGCCAGGGTCCGACTGATTCATGGTCACGAACACCTGAAGAAAAGGGGATCTAGATAAAATCAGCGAGCGATCTGTCAGCATGTTCCAAGTGGGGTCTGCATGGATTGCGTTCCACGCGCAGGCAGGCTCTTTCTTCGTTTGGGGTGCAGAGGACTTAGTCTTTCGAGCCTTAGTTGTGGCTTACTTAGCTTTCGTGTGGCCGGCGCGCTTCACTCCAAGCTGCATGCGTGCGACCGGTCTGAGGTACCTGCATGCACATCTTCTCGCTTCGCTGGGACGTGGTCCTGTTCTTGTAACTATGCCGTGTTCCTCGGTTGCTTCTGCTCCCCTGCTGAAAGTTTAACTGTTAGCGGTTTAATGGCAAACCCATAGTTGGCAAATCCAAGCAAAATGCACCAAAGGTTTGGCAGCAACAGCCGCTCCGCAGCTCTTTACATCGCTGCTGTGGCTGGGCCCCGTGGTCAGAGGCCACTCGGGCCGCCTCACTACTCGGGCATTCAATTCTGAATGCAGGTTATGAACTGCGGTGAAATTTGCAGGGCCTATGCAGAGGCCATGTTGCCCTTCATGGTAAGCACCATCTTTTTGTAAGGCGGGACCTGACATCATGTGATATCCAAAAACGTCGGGTATGGGGAGTACTCTTTCGGAAATCAAGCAAGGAAAGCCACAATGCTCCCTTGGCCCCAAGGCCCCATCATCTTTCCGATTCTGCAATATCAAACATAGAAACATACTCAATCCAGTAGAATCCCCTAAGCTGGGCCGAGCGTTTTGCTTGCCATGATTGGGCGCAAGAGTTAGGCTTGACTTTGAGGAGCCTCTCCAATTGGCCGGGTGTGCCTTTGTTGCTTTGGGACACCCCAAAGGGGCAGAAACGAAAAAAAAACACCCCATATGTCGACATCACAAAGGGAATAGCTGGCTCACCATCCCTACATCTCAGCCAAGTAAAAGGATCATGGCCACGTATGAAGTGTTTCTCAACAAGGAGGGGGGGGTGGGGGGGAGGTTCCCTAAAATGGTTTCCTTTTGGTTTCGCCTTTCAGAAGCAGCTGCAAGCCGCTACTCGCTTTTTGGCACCACTTCCCTCACACTTGCCGGCTTGCCAGGACCTGGCAAAGGCCAATAGGTTGGGTACGGGGAGAGCTTAGGGTGGGGTTTTGTGGGCGGGTTTCTACCTGGACGCTTTTAACAACTACCCTTGGGTTGAAGTCACACTCAAGCTATGAGCAACTTCGTCCCTTGAAGTCAACCTGAAAACGGCACCCAGCTCCACCCACTTAGACATGCTGTCTCCGAGGATAATACGCTGCTTGGGGGTTGTGTTTGCCCCCCCCCCCCTCCCTTTTCCCCCCCCCCCCTCCCTTTTCCCCCCCCCTCCCTTTTCCCCCCTGCCTCCCCCCCTCAAAAAAAACAAAACAAAAAAAGAAAGAAAGAAAGAAAGCAAGCAAGAAAGCAAAAAAGAAAGAAAGAAAGAAAGCAAGAAAGAAAGAAAGCAAGCAAGCAAGAAAGCAAAAAAGAAAGAAAGAAAGAAAGCAAGAAAGAAAGAAAGCAAGCAAGCAAGAAAGCAAGATTCTTGTCTGAATTCCCTCTTAGACCGCAAAACGGGTACCAACGGGCCATTCTCTACCCGGCCTGCGCAGCTTCGTCCTCCACCTGAGCCATGCTCCGCTTCGTCGCGAAGACGGCGATGACGTTCCTGGCGCCCAAAAGCTGACGTCCCTTTTTTTTCTGAGCTGGTGTCCGTTTTGGGGTGGAATTGTGCGGGATACTGCTCTCATTTTAGGATTCGCTCATTCTGAGACAAACCCTTTTTGCCCCAAACGTGTTGAATGGGTCCAGGTAGACCGTGCTGTCATCCTGTGACATCCCAAACAGCAAATAGTTTTGGATGCTTCTGATGTTGACATCCACACCTGAGTAGGACCCGGTGGATCGTCGGGTGTGCTTCGCTCAAAAGTGAAGCTTCGCCCCTTTAAACTCCTCAACCGGGCGTGAACTTTAATAGGGACCTTTCGGTGTACTTCATTTAGTTGGTGATTGTCCACCTTTTGAGGTGGCCCCAACTTGGTGAGTGTCCACCTTTTGAGGTGGCCCCAACTCTCAAAATTCATTGCCAGGTCGATAAATGGCTTCCCCTTCCGCGACTCGTGCGACTCGTGTCATTGGAAAACGTGGCCTTTACAAAGGCTCAAAGAACTCCTGGCGCAGACCCCCTTCTATCAAGCTTTTCCTTGCGAACCTTTCCTGAGGTGAGCCGCTGTTTTGTGCCATCCCTATTTCGTCTGATAGGGCTTTGAATTTTCCTCGGCCATCCTCTGATAGGGCTTGGGGGGCCGGCCTCTGATTCTTTGAGACTTGAAGCCAAACTTGGGCGGGGGCTCCCTGCTGCCCCTCAAAACAACAACTCAGTTGCTTTCTGCTCCTCTGCCAAAAGTCTAGTGGCTTAATGGAAAACCCATTAGTTGGCAAAACGTTCAAGTCCTGACATCTAAGCACCAAAGACGCATCTCGGAAGCTCCAAACCAGGTCAGCCGCGCGAGATGCTGTCCAAAGCCACGCCCATCAGGGTGAAGAGCAGTGCGCCGTAAGCGACCCTGCCGAAGTACAGCGTTTGGAGCGACAAAACGCTTGGCCCTCTGTACACATGGTCTGCTTCATGTTTAGCCACCCAAAAATAAAAAATAAAAAGTTTTGGAGAAGAACCCAAGCTGCGGAAACACGAGAAAACTTTGGGCAACGGCAAAAAGCCCGTGTTCAAAACCGCAAGTGCTGTCCCCAAGTAGTCGTTGCCAGCCCCTGGGCACGCAAAAGGAAGGGCTTACCCGCAAAGTAAAGCGGGGGCTTCCTCTGGGGGAGAGTCTTCCAGAAGCCTATCAGCTTCCATTGGAGGGAGGGTATCCACCTGTTCCTTTGTCCGGCCCCAAAAGGGCCACAGTGTTTTGGCAAGGCAACCAAGTTTCATGGCCCAAGCGTAAGCGTGTTCCCCCCCAAAGAAACCATGCTGCCCCCCCTCAGTTGTTGTGAATATGTCAAGCAAATTGTGAATCAACTTCTGGCGGAGTTGCCCACCCCTTCATCCGCAAGGTTCTACTTCAGGGTTGACGTTGCACCTGAGTCAACAATATCATGGGAACCCGAAACCGTGCTTTTTCTTGCAAACACCCGCTGCTGGGAATATGTTGGCTTTCCGCGCCAATACACACAGCTTTCCCACACTCACAACGTTGGCAAATGTCAAAGGGTCGAGATTTAATTTGGGTTTTTTTTTGTTTTATTTTGGGTTTTTTTTTGTTTTCCGTCCTGGCTACTAAAATGCTGTAATTTACAGCATTTTCTCGCGAAATGTACGTATTTTACGCTAGTCCGTCAACATCATCAGCATCGTTTTCAACATCCCCCGCATGTCCAGCCAACATCGCCAGCATCACCAGCAAATTGGGTCAAAAAAATAGCGGGGGGGTTGGGGGGGGGGGCAGCCCCCCCCACGATGATTGAAAAAGTGATGATTCAATTAGGGCAAAACAAATATTTTTTTAAAAAAAAAAAAAAAAGCAGCGGGGGTGGCATCAGTGCCTCTGCGCCGAGGCCTCATGGTACAAGTGAGGGTTCAAATACGGGCAAACTAATCCCTGCAGATCGAAAAAGTGATGATTCCATCAGGGGCAAAAAGTCCAAAAAATAGCGGGGGGGTTGGGGGGGGCGGCAGCCCCCCCCACGATGATCGAAAAAGTGATGATTCAATTAGGGCCAAAAAAATATTTAAAAAAAAAGCAGCGGGGGGGGCATCAGTGCCTCTGCGCCAAGCCCTCATGGTACAAGTGAGGGTTCAAATACGGGCAAACTAATCCCTGCAGATCGAAAAAGTGATGATTCAATCAGGGGCAAAAGTCTAAAAAATAGCGGGGGGGTTGGGGGGGGGGCTGCCCCCCCCATGATGATCGAACAATTAGGGGCAAAGAATCTAAAAAGTAGCGGTCGCATGATGATCGAAAAAGTGATGATTCAAATAGGGGCAAAAAGTCCAAAAAATAGCGGGGGGGTTGGGGGGGGGGCGGCAGCCCCCCCCACGATGATTGAAAAAGTGATGATTCAATTAGGGACAAAAAATATATAAAAAAGCAGCGGGGGGTCATCAGTTCCTCTGCGGCAAGGCCTCATGGTACAAGTGAGGATTCAAATACGGGCAAACTAATCCCTGTAAAACACCTAAAACGTAGTTAGGGCCAAAAATAAATAAAAAGCAGCGGGGGGGTGAACAGTTCCACTACGGCAAGGCCTCATGGTACAAGTGAGGATTCAAATACGGGCAAACTAATCCCTGAGATCGAAAAAGTGATGATTCAATCAGGGGCAAAAAGTCTAAAAAATAGCGGGGGGGTTGGGGGGGGGCGGCAGCCCCCCCCATGATGATCGAAAAATTAGGGGCAAAGAATCTAAAAAGTAGCGGTCGCATGATGATCGAAAAAAGGGATGATTCAATTAGGGGCAAAAAGTCCAACAGATAGCAGGGGGGTTGGGGGGGGCGGCAGCCCCCCCCCATGATGATCAAAAAAGTGATGATTCAATCAGGGGCAAAAAGTCTAAAAATTGCGGGGGGGTTAGGGGGGGCGGCAGCCCCCCCCCCATGATGATTGAAAAAGTGATGATTCAATTAGGGCCAAACAAAAAGAAAAAAAAACAGCAGGGGGGTCATCAGTTCCTCTGCGGCAAGGCCTCATGGTACAAGTGAGGATTCAAATACGGGCAAACTAATCCCTGTAAAACGGCACCCCCCCCCATGATGATCGAAAAAATAGGGGCAAAGAATCTAAAAAGTAGCTGTCGCATGATGATCGAAAAAGTGATGATTCAAATAGGCGTGCATTTTAATCGAAAGGGGGGTGGCGGGGGGCCCAGAGAGGAACTTGCGATGCTGAGGATGCAGGAAGCCAACTGGAAAAGCATCAGGATGCGAAAAGCCAAAGCCAAAAGCCAAAAAGCCAAAAAGCCAAAAAGCCAAAAAGCCAAAAAGCCACCTGCCGCAGCGGAACTGGCAATGCAGAGGATGCGAAAAGAGAGGAACTGTGAATGCAGATGATGCGAAATGAAAAGCCACGAAAGCCACAAAAACCCACGTAAAAGCCACAAAAGCCAAAAAGCCACCGACCCTGAAAAACAAAAATAATTCCTAAAAAAAAACTCAAAAAATTCCTAAAATGGCCCTCCAATGTCAAACTGCAGTGAAACCCCGAAGCTCTAAAAGGATGCCATGTTCGGACTTCTGGGAAAATAGGAAAAGGGCACTCTGGGTTAACCAACAAACCATGGCCCTCAATCTCTGGTTGCTTTTGGCCCTCAATCTCTGGAGCGCCAACCCTGGCTTCTGAAGCTAGTCGATCACCGAAGCCCCGGGCCAATTGGCTCGCTTCGAGATCTTCAGCGCAGTCCTGGACTTGCCCTGGCCGAAGCGACCGGATCCGACTCAATCAGAGCCTGCATGTGACCTTTTTTGGCGTAAACGCAAGCCAGCTGCCTTCAACGCCGAAAAGGTGTGGATTGCCTTGAAAACCGAAGGTGGTGGTCACAAAGGAGGAAGCACCATGTTTGGCGGGGGATTGGCTAAGAGGGATGCGGAAAACCCAGACACTAATATAAAAAAACCTCGTGGTCGTAATTGTGGTTGTGTTCGGTTTCTCTTGGACACCAAAAGGAGCACACTTTCACATGGCACCGGTGAGGGGAGAATGGGCCAACCCCTGTCGCTCGGTGGATTCCGATCAACTAGAACTGCTCACTCAAGCTGGGATTTCCTTGGCGTGGTCGGCCAAACATAAGGTCACTGCATGGCGTCGCTTGGTTTTGAGCAAGCCAGAATATTAAAAGCAAATACTCCTACCAACTAGGAATACCCCCGCATGGATCCCACTAAGATGGTTTGGCAACAGGAACCCCCTCCTTCGACCATCGGATTTGGTACTTGCAGAATATACACGACCACGCTGAGAGAGCATCTTGGAAAGCAGAGCCCCCCCTTCATATGCATTGTGTTCCGCACATTCATTCGATGACCAGAGACCTGAAACAAAGAAGATCAAAGCTAAACAAAGCGACATGTAAACCTGGCTCCTTCTAAGCTTCCACGGATTTGATAATTGCTTTTCAAATGGTGGCCTCGCTTGGCACTGGGAAAGTCGGGGGGGAAAGGCTACCACTGCCCCTGGTGCAGCAAGGTGTAGCAACCAGACACTTCCATCATATCCCTACCTTTCTGTCCAACAACCATTCAAGACAAGGGGCTCTTTCAAGAGGAAGCTAGTTTTCTAATATCCTCCGTGCACTTCCATGAGTGTTGGTAAAAGGGCAGTTACACACTGCGCAAGTCACACCACACTTCAGTCTTCAGCTCTGCTTGGGGCAACAAACTGGTCACAACTCGTCGAACTGATCTTGAACATGGCCACTGTCTCCGCCGTGTTCTGCATCGCCCCAAGTCACCACAGAGCCACTAGCTGTGATGGCCGCAAAAGCAGAACCAGTTGCTTGGATTTGCTGCACTTGCACCAGCTGATCTTGAACCAGGCTGCTGTCACCGCCCTTTTCTGCATTGCCCCAAGTCACTACCAAGCCATCATTTCGCATTGCGGCAAAAGCGAAGGCCGTTGCTTGGATTTCTTGGACCCGCACCAACTGCTCTTGCACCTTGCTGCTGTCTCCGCCGCAATCATCCTTGCCCCAAGTCACCACAGAGCCATCAGTCCGAATTGCCGCAAACGCCCCATGAGTTGATTGGATCTGTTGCACTTGCCTCAGGTTCTCCTGTTGTTGGCTGCTGTCTCCACCACCGTACCCACCTCCCCAAGTCACTACAGTGCCGTCAGTCCGTATAGCAGCAAAGGCCGACTTCGTTGCTTGGATCTGCTGCACTTGCACCAGCTGCTCTCGAACCTTACTGCTTGATTGATCCCCTGCTCAAAGTGAACATTTTTAGTGAGATATGTCATACGTCCAACTCTAAACACCAAATCACGCTACAAGTCTAAGCAAACGTGCCAAGGAACCTGATCGCAGTCTGCACCCCAATGGGGGTCGCCCCAAGTTGTGACGCTGCCGTCACTTTTGAGCGCGGCGAAAGCTGCGGTGGTTCCGCAGACCTGCCGGACCCCTGTGAGCTGCTCCCGCACCTGGCTGCTGTCACCCCCACATTCTGCGTTGCCCCACGTCACCTGGATGGATTCCAGCGCAAACACAACTCTTCGCTGCGCGGCGCAACGGGGTTGTCTCGAAAAGTTGCGTCCCTGAAATGTGTCGTGGCGTTTTGGCCTCCCTTTGAGTCCAAACGTTCCTAACCCAAAGAAAGCCCACTATTTTGAGAACCCCCTTCCACAATCCGTTTCCAAAAAGCCAAAGCCACCACTGTGCCGTCTGCGCGGGTTGCAGCAAAGGCGAAGTGAGCTTCTCGGATCTGCTGCACCTCCACCAGCTGATCTTTGACCTGAGGGTATCTCATCTGGCCATGACCTCATGCTTCCCCTTAAAAACCACTGACCCCCCAAGGCTTGAACAATCTTGAACGTGATTACCCGAGATGAATCAACCCTGGGTTTAGTTGGGAATCATCACTTCTGGGGACCACCCCCTATGAAAAAAAGAGCGGTTGATTGATCCGGGGTTTACATTGAGGTCTTTTCACCTCTGCACCTGGCTGCTGTCTCCGCCATAGGTTGGGTCCCCCCATGTCAGCACGGTGCCATCCATGCGGAGAGCAACAAACGCGCCGGCATTCCCGCAAATTTGTCGGAGTGGTGATTTGGGCCTCGTGACTTCACCATATTTGAAGGCCCCCGCTCTTGGCCAAGTACCCACTTTTGTAGGAACGGTGTTTATCGTTCAAAATACTCCCTTTAAGCAAGTGGGCATTTGGAATAGGGGTGGGTGACTTTGCCCCGCAGAAACCAAAATGACACCGGGCAACTTGACTTCCTTCCCCAAAGTTGTTCTTCGCCACCCTTTCACGCTTTGGAATCCATGGGCCCCAACAAACTTGCAAAGGTCAAAACAATGACATGACCGGCCCCTACACACCCAAAGGAAGCTCAATTCAAGTTGACAACTGGAAAGCGACGTCTTAACATTATGCAAGGGGCCTAAATAATTTTGTCATGCTGGGAGTAAACCATGAGTGATTATTTGGTTATGAATCTGAATAGCGAACCACATCACAAGTGGCTCGTGCTGATGGACATGAATCCCCCTAAATATCCACGAGATGCTCCCTGAGTGACATTTTCCCCGGGTTCGGCCCTTGGGGATCCCTCCAATTTCTCACCTGAGAGCGCGACCTCGGGACTTTGTAGCCGCCTTCACGGTTGCAAATCACCATCTCGCCGTCAGTCCGGACGGCGACGAAGGTCGCTTGCGAGGAGAGGATCCGCTGGATAGGCGGCAGTTGCTTTTGCACCTCAGACAGGGCTCCAAAAATATGTCCAGGCGCGGCACCTTGGCTTGCTGAAGCTGGAATTCGTGGCAGGCGAGTACTTTGCCCTGGTCTGCGCGGAGCGGTCGGCTTTGGGCCGCGGTCCCATTTTCAGTGGCGGGCGCAACGCTTTGGGCTTGCGGAAGCTCGATTTCATGGCAGGCGCGGTACTTGAGACTCGTCGCTAACACACTTCAAAGCAGTCCCTTTCTTAACCGTTCTTTTATGTGCTGTTGCGTTCTTAAGTCGATCGACCAAGTTCATTTTACCACCAAAGCTTGGCATGTGGGGGTGTCCGGTCCTTTAACTATTGTTCGGCATGAATTCCTTCACTAGTTGCAATGTAGCAATTGTAAAGTTGTAAAGTTTTATGATGGAGCCATCTTTGGAATCTCCAGGACATTAACATCAGCCCTTATTAGAAAGAACTGGTTTGAGTTCATCCGGAAATAGGACTGTATCTCCAGATAACCGAACTTTGAATAAAAGCAGTACATTGCATGGCGTCTTCTAAGCTTCTTTCTAGTGCTGCCTGGCTTCATTGGAGTTCGAAAATAATGATGTTGTACCTATGTTTCACGGGTCTCCAGAAGTGGTGTTTGTGTATGCTCTATCATAATTATGTTACTTTCATATATGTTCATAATGACAAAACTGGCATGTGTTCAAACACCCTACTATCATGCTCTCCTCAGTCTCAGTACTAGCAAGCTAGCTTCTGTAGGCATTCCAGTGCTTAAAGTCGTGTCGTTGATCTGCTTCCCCCCCCTTGCTCTCCTTTCTGAAATTGGGAGCACACATGTGGGTGTGTATATGTATATATATATATATATATATATTCCAACCCATAAAGATCAAACAATTGCAGGTGAGGTTGGGTCCAAGTTTCCTGGAGGACTCACAAATTATTTCATATATTGGGGAACCCTTTGTAATCTGACACAGCTCATGGTTCCACATCAACTACCTCAGGCTTCTGACATCGCTTTTTTTTGGCCTTAAAGCACCGCAAAAGCCCAATGGATTTCCATGGCAGAACATACGTGGCACCGTTTCTTTGTCGATCAGCGTCCCCTTAATGCATAATCATCACCTGGTATGAAATTGCTGGTAAAAGCGTGTTTCTTCCTTGGCCATGTGTCCTTCAAGGAAGCTTGTTGATATTAAATGGACACCTTTCCCCCCCCCCCCAAAAAAAAAAAAGAGGTGCCGCTGGTGTGCGGGTGTGTGTGTGTGTGTGCGTGTGGAGACGCGGTGCCCATTTGGTTGATTGCTTCGAGGAGGAAAGCCAAATGGAAAAAACAAATGGAAAAGAAAAAGAAAAAAAAAAAAGCGAGCCCCACCCCCAGTTGCAGACGTGCATTTTTGAGGGCACCCCTTTTCGAGGTACCCTCAAAACAAGCTCCCGCCTTGCACTGGCCGCCGAATTCCGGATGGCCCCATATCACTGCACTACCTCCCGCCAGGTACAGAGCGAAGGCGCCATCTGTCGCGGCCAGTTGGGCATGTTGCGAGATTGCGTCAACGGTGCCCCCATCCCTCACAGGGGATTCCATGACGAACAGATGCACTTCGACAAATCACAAAAAACTATTCGGCCGAACAGAAGAAGCATGGTCAAACCACCCAGAAATGGTGTCCCTCACGTCCCCTGCCTCAGGCCAGCCTCGCTCAAGCTGGACGCAGAGTCCAGCCGCTGGCCGCACGCCGCCAGGCTCACGAAGCGAGGCAGCTTCAGTTTCCGCCGCGCCTCGGCCCTCAGCTCCTTGACGGAGCTCTCGCGCTTCAAATGCACGGAGCAGCTGCTGCCACTAGGCGAGCACACCTCCACCTGCATGAGCTCATCGCCACAGGTCTTTTCTGGGCTTCGGTAAGGTCACACCTATGGTCGCTCGGAAGCAGGGCTGTGGGAAATGGAATCCACTTCTGTGATACAGGAAGAGCTTCCCAAAGACTGAACCCCCATGGGGGGAGATTCCCTTGTACCAGGGAGATTCCCTTGTACAGAAGTGGGGATCACAACCCTCGGAAGCCTCGAGCCTTGAGAAATGGCGAAAGACCGGCCCCCCCTCCCTGTCTGTCGACTTCCAAGTCCCTTCTCGGAGCCTGGATTCATTTCGGGTGCGCACACCGGCTGATTCACGAAATACTGCAGGTAACCTACATAACTGGGAATAGATGACAGGGCTTCCCGTGGCAACAGGAAGTCAACCTTTGCAACACTCCCAGCGGATCAGTGCAGGTTTCCCTGAGGCCTCACTCGCAACTCGAGATCTAAAGGGAAACCTTCTCGCTGCACGCGGGTATCTCCAAGTCCAAGTTCATTTGCTGCTTCGACTGGAGAATGCGGGAATGGGCCCAAACTGAAACGTCCCGAGAGGCGGGGCTTCCTTTCAGCGGCGGTGTCCATTGGAGGGCACCCTGTTTCGACGGTGTGGGAAACCACACCGACACCAGCTTTTTCTACCATCTTGTCGCGCCTCTCCGCTGTAAAAGGAAACCATCATCTTTGGAGTTTATCCCTAGGTCCATTGCCAATACAAAAGATTCCTGAAGCAAACGACCTCGCGCCTCTCCTTTCACGTGCCCTTGTAGTAGGTTCAACCAGATGCCCCAGAAATATACGCCACGTTTCGTTCAGTACCCCCCCCCACCCCCCCTTCCCCTGGAATAAAAGAACATTATATATATATATATATTAAGAAGAAAAACAAAAAAGGAAGAAAAAAAGAGGGAAAAAACACTCAAGTGGCAGGTCCAAAGCCAGGCCTTGTAAATGGTGGTTTCCCTTTGTGTGGGTGGAAAAAGCTGTGTTGTTCCCCTCGCTTCATTCTTTTTCCCCCGTCTCCTCGGGCCTTGATCCACACGCTCAGCTGCTCCACCCGGCTGCTCTTCGCGCGGCTCCGCAGGGCCTCGCCAGCGAGGCCGCCAGCGAGGCCGGTGGTTTCAGCTGTGGCTCAAGAAGAAAAGTTGGCTGTGGTTGTCAAAACCAATGGTACCATTTCGGGGTTTTCGGTGCACCACCCATTTTAGAACCTATTTTAGTAGGGATTGGGATGTTCACCGGGGGGGTACGGGATTTTGACCTATGGCCAGTCAACCAACCATGGCACCTGGGTAAATGGAACAGGCCAAAACCTGTGGTTTGCCTTGGCTCTCTAATTTTAAGCGCCACATCCATATGAATCAACCCCATTTTACTTGTTGGGGGGTCCTCTAAAAGTGACCTGATTCCCCACGATGTTCAGGGACATCCCCCCTATTAATACACAGGGGTTGATGAATATGGGGTCAACATTAAGGAGCTGGGATGGAACTCCAATTCTGGCGAGATTTTAAGCTTCCCAGAGGTTCCTGGCTCGAAAGCCTCGCAATTCTACAAAGTGACTCCCCCAGAGTGAGAGCTTTTTGGGTGGCAGTGAGGGCAGTGGGAAGTGTGGGTCTGTCGTTTTGTGAGGGTACCCTTTTGGGGCGGCAAAGGGAAGAACAAACGAAAAACAGAAATTTGAGGGTTTCCCTTTGGTGTTCCTTTAAATCCACCAAAAAAGGGATACCCTCAAAAAGGGACACGCCCATATACAAACAGCCGCAAGTTGAGCAAGGAAGCAGCACAAATGGCACCGTGGCATAGAAGCACATCGTCTTTGGTTTCAAACTCCATTAGCCAGCTTACCTGTGCCCGTAAGTGAACAGACGTGCAAAAACCGGCTCTTGGATCGCGTTGTTTTTGGAAGTGCCCTCATGAATGTATACTAAAGAAGAAGGCCGGTGTTGATACAACAAGTCATTTGCTCTGTACATCAACTCATACATGAATATAATACTGTTGTCATTTACATTGATCTAGCCTTGTGTGTGTCCCTCCCTCCCACCAACAAACGAGACGGGCCATGTCAATTTGTTCGGTCTAATAGGGATTTCCATGGTAATTACTGCTGTCATAAGCTACACCATAATTTGTGACCATGCAATCACTTCAGATGGGAAAAAAACGGCATCCCGCCCGGGGAGAAAAAAAAAAAAAACAAGCCGAAACCAAGGACTTTTCTGAACCATGGCGACCTGCAGCCAGCGAGGCGGGGGCGTAGTCACGACTCACCGCGGCAATTGTACCGCACGTTTGTTTGAGTCGTGGCTACGAAAAAGTAATCGGTGGTACACCCCCTCGCAGCCAGCAACTTCCCGAGGTCCTCTTCGTGTCCAGAGAGCGCCCAAACACCGTGGTTTGGTTCTGTCAATTTACTAAGTAACCCATGAAGCCAGCGCCCCAAATGGTGAGGAGGTTTGAAGCCTGGCTCAAATTGGCCTGGTGCATTTCGGGGTGTAAGACAAAAGAAACAAATGAGACCCGAGCTTTCTGTGAAACAGGAATGGTATCGCAACAAACGCACAGATTCACACACATATCCATAGCTATCACAACTGTGTCCATTCTTCGGGTCCATACTTGCGCTCCATTTCATGTGGGCAGACATGTCGTTCAACGATTCTGTCTGGGTCTGCTGTTTGGAAAGCCTTCGCTTGTTGTTCCTACTAGGGTGTAAGCGCCAGATCGGTTCCATGATCGGATGCCTGCAGCTTGACCTCGGAGGCGTCGTACCTGGCATGTGCCGAGAAGGTTCTCTTTGAAACAATGATGTCCATTTGAGAAAAAGCGAAAGCACGGCGGCAAGACTCCTCTGACTCCTGGGCAATGGCAGGGTCCCAGCCCACAAATGCCAAGAACCGGCCGTCCAAGCATCCCTTCGCAGCTGTTCTTTTTCTCACGTCAGTAGCACGAACTGGGCCCGCACCTCGGTCTCCGCAGAAATCGCGACAAAAAATAATCACAGCCACTGGGGTCCCGCGCAGATTGCCCAGCACGGGTGCTGGCAGTCCTGGCATCTCCAAGTCCTGCTCCGAAGGCGAAGGCTGCGAAGCCAGGAAGCCTGGCGCGAATCGCATCTGAACCATCCAACAATTCAACGTTGGTCCCTCGTCGAGGTCACTAACACATGTCATCCCTCTCACCTCCCGAAGGCTTCTCCATCTTTCACAACTCAAGACTTGTCCTCGCCTTGCAGCGCATCAAAGACCAGGCGGTTGTTGATCACCTCAGCTTTTTCAGCGCGCTGCGCTCAAGGCATCGCTTTCCACGCCAACATCTGGGTATGGGTCAAAATACAACCACCAGTAGACCCCAGGGTTTAGTCTTTGGTTCCATTTACCCTGGTTCTCTGCCCAGCGGCCACGGGCGCAAAGTTGTCCTCATGCAGCTGCTGAAGAAAGGCGTCGGTGTCCTGGGAGATCCTCAGCTGCCGACTCCGCAGCGTTCGGCGTCTCTCTTCGTCCACACTGAAGCATGAAGCCAACTAATTGAAAAAGCGCCCCTGGTCTGAGGCCCAAAGACTTCTCAGGCTTTGCCATAGTTGGGTGTTGTTTTTATTCCTTTTTGGTGGAAATTGCTTTTGGGGGTGTTGAAGGGACACCAAAAGGAAAACCGAATCCCATCTTGGAGGCATCCCCGAGTTGACGTTTGTCTTCCGGCGAAAGTCCAGGCACTGATTGACAATGGCCTGCGTCGCCGCGTCCAGCTTGCCCTCCTGTCCCAGGAAACCAAGAGACAACACGCCCAAGAACTTGGGCGCAGCGACGCCACCTGAAGATCTTCAGAGAACTTCAGAGAACTTCAGAGAACTTCAGAGAACTTCAGAGAACTTCAGAGAACTTCAGAGAACTTCAGAGAACTTCAGAGAACCCTGCAGAATCTGACACAGCTTGAGAGAAGAGAGAACTTCACAAGACCCACGACACTAAACCGCAAACGAATCGTCCTTCACTGCGGAAACACCATTTTACTTCCACCAAGGGTTTAATAAAAATTATGGGCCCCATTACATGAGCGGTCAAAATTACTTGCTCCAAGTAGGAATTCGGGCTATGCCTGCAACCCCATGACAATCCCTTCATGGGGGAGCCCAAGTAAGCCCTTGCTAACCCCGTATCAAGGCCTAAGGGCTTATTTGGGCTCCCTCCCCTCTTCCTCCCCAGCCCCCATGATCCCTGGCAACCCGAGGGCAAGCTCTTCCCCGACCTCACGCCCCTTCCGTTCCGCCGCTCCGTGGCTCGGCGCACCGCGGCAATGGCGAAGCGCCAGGTGGTCATGGCGCGCGCGAGGTCACACCTGGCGCGCGAGTCTCAAAGGGCTGGAATGGCTTCAACCTTGCGGCTTCTCAAAAAAACAAACAGCAACCACCCGGGAAAAGGGATCGGGGGTCGACCCAAAGAATGCACACACCCATGTGTGAATGTAAATGGAGAAGCTTCGCTCCGATCGGCACCTGGGATTGGTGGTTTATGCACCAGTATTCATAGGGCTGCATCCACAACTGGCAGCCGATCGCAGATTGTGTCCACCAGAAGGGGGAGCCATTGCTTGGCAGTGCGGGGCCATTCAGGACCAAGGGCGCCCAACTGAAGCAAATAGATGTGGCTCGTCTGATTTCTAAGTCCCCAGGATGACCTACGCAGGGAGCTGGCTTTCTCCCTGGGGCGAGGCACACCCAAATCCTACTCGTTTATAACCCACTCCACGGGGCGGAGGCTGGCATGCAAATCAACTTATATCATACTGTATACAGATATAGCCCTACACTGCTGAATCCCAAAGCCTCTTTGCTGACCAGCCAAGCCTTCCTTTCCATCCCGGGCATGCACTTTTTGAGGGTATCCTTTTCGGGTACTTTAGACACATCAAGTTGCGGCCGCTGGATGTCTCCTTTTGTTTTGGTTTGGAACACCCCCGCCTATGGGGAGTGATTGCTTGGCCTTTGCTTCGCGCCATGTTTTGGGTAAATCGGGAAACTATAGACTTGCGTGGTTTCGGTATAGTTTCCTTTCAAGAAAAACACCGCAAAAGGCGCCCTCCAAGGATAAGCCGTTCCCGTTAGAAGAGTCGCGAAAAGTGGCTTCCCCGAAAAAGGACATGGCAAGAAATGGGGAGATGTGTGAGTTTTACACAGAAATCCCTCAAAACATGAGCAACCAATCTCTTCAGAAAAATGGGCTTTCGGTGTCCCGCATTTTAAGCAACCCCGCCAAAAGCTACTTCCTCCAAGGCAAAAGACACGCCCAAAACGGCGCAGAAAATGCTCCGCCCTCACGACCACTTACATGAGTGTGTATTTAACCAAGAAGAATGCCCTTTTGCCAGCAATCATGGAAGCTGTTTTGGGAAACCCTGCCTGGGACAAAGGGTATCCTCCCAAAAAGTGTTGATCCTCCAAATCAGAGATATCCTCATTTACTAAAATGGCTGTGGCTCAGACTTTTTGGTGACCAACCCCCAAAACGGGTATGTCCTCTAACAACAGGGGGAGGAGGCGTCCTGTGTAGGCGACAAAATCGGCCATCAGCGCCAACCCAATTTTCTTGCTGGTGCTCAGCAGGGAATGAGTTGGAATGACCCCTATAAACCATCCGCAAATCAAAATGACACACCCCCAGCGGCCACAGCAAAGTCTGGCACCCATTGTTGGCCATTGCTTTTTCAAATGAGGTGCTGAACTCTGGTGCGGAAAATGGGTATGAGTCCCAACAGGGCATGAGGTGCCTTACTCATGTTTGCCGAGTCATGACTTTCAAAGGAAACTTCCACAAGGAAAAGGGGGGGGGTCATTGTGTGTCCCCTTCAGCAATAACCTGCCACGCAATCATGATTGCATCCTGCAAAAAACAGATTGCATCCTTTGCCTTGGGTTGTGTGTTTTCTTCAAAAATCATGTTTATTCCCTTGAACGAACAGGAAAACACGCAGACAGAACAAAAGAAGAGCCAAAACCACCTGCCATCGTCATCGTGGGATCCCTCGATCCCTCGATCCCTCGATCCCTCGATCCCTCGACCCGCGCGTCGCCGAGCTCTCGCATGCCCGCAGCTGCGGCAGATCCGCGGCGCGCTGCGCCAGCCAGGCGCTGCTCAGCGGCGGAGGCGCGCAGGCCTGACGCGCGCCCGGGCGCGGGCGCCCGGGAGCGGTTTCCGCTTCTGGGGACGCGAGGCCCTGGTGGATCAATGGCTGGGACTCCAGATCACAAAAGTGTGGAAGGTGTATGGGCTCATGCCGGGGATGGAAGTGTTGTCAGAGGAAAACCAACAAAATGGAGCCCAGGAAAGCCTGGCTATATCTCAATCCTGGTGGGCTTTTGCGCGGGTTTGGAGATTTCCACCATGGGGCGCCTTTTCTCAGCCCGGGCACATCCCACTTAGACTCTCGAGGATGGCTTCCAGTTGCGTAACTTGAGTGGCTCTCAGGGGTTCTCCAAAACAACTACATAGCCACAGTATAAAGCCGAGTGAGGCGCTGGGTCAAACGTCTATGATTTCCACTACCAAAAAGATGTTCACAGATCACTTTTGTTTGTGTGGGTTTGTTCAAAGACCATTTCTACCCTGTCACACCCCAGGCCAGCCCCATGTCCCTGTGCCCCTGTGCGAAAGGTAGTTCAGTTTTGAGTAGCTCGAACGATCTTTCTAGTGATTCAGTGATACCGCATTCCTTTCAACCATCGTTCTTTTCAGAAACCAAAGGTTCTGCAAAGGCGGCGAGAGAAAGCCTTTCAAGGAAATTCAGGTGAGTCGATTGGGGGGTGTCTATGGCCTTTTTAACCCTGAATAACACCTTGTTTCAAACCTATCCAAGCTTAGCCGAGGCTTGTCCTGGCATAGCCCCTCCCCCAAAGACGCCCCAAGGCCCAATGACTTCAAGGCACGAAACGATAACAAACCCTTTCGCACAGTTCTTTGTGTTCCAGGAGAGCAGCCTGCCAAAAGTGAAACGTGGAATTCGGATCAAAGCAATCAGAGGAGGACTACGAGTAAAAGAATAAAGAGTATGCCCTCCTTCCAATCGTGGAAGTTGACAGGAGCACCCTTTGGCTGTTAAGCGGCCAAGTTTGTTGGCCTTGGGAGCGGAGACCTTTCGGTGCCAAGGCAGTCGTGCTGAAAGGAAGGGGAGCGATGCCAAAAAGAAATGGGAGCGCCTGGAAGGAAAAGATTGCAGTGTCGACGTCTGAGCAACAAGAGAGAGAGAGAGAGAAGCAAAGAGAGAGAGAGAGAGAGGGCGAGAGAGAGAGAGCGAGATGAAGAGAGAATGAGAGAATGAGAGAGTTAGAGAATGAGAGAGAAAGCGACAAGAGACAGAATGAGAGACAATGAGAGAGAATAAGAGAGAATGAGATAGAATGAGAGAGAATGAGATAGAATGAGAGAGAATGAGAGAGAATGAGAGAAAATGAGAGAGAATGAGAGAGAATGAGACAGAAAGATAATGAGGGAAAGAGAATGAGAGAGAATGAGAGAAAGAGAGACAGAGAGAGAGAGAGAAACAGAGAGAAAAGAGAGAAATAATGAGAATGAGAGAGAGAGAGAAGAGACAGAATGAGAGAGAATGAGATAGAATGACAGAGAATCAGAGAGAGTGAGAGAGAAGGAGGGAGAAATAGACAAAGAGAGAGAGAGAGAGAGAAAAAAAAAAGAAATAAAGAAAGAAACAGAAAACAGAGAGAGAGAGAGAGACAGAGAAAGAGAGAGAGAGAGAGAGAAAAAAGAGAGAGAGAGAGAGATAATGAGAATGAGAATGAGAATGAGAATGAAACTGAGAATGAGAGAGAGAAAGAGACAGAATGAGAGAGAATGAGACAGAATGAGAGAGAATAAGACAGAATGAGAGAGAAAGAGAATGAGACAGAATGAGAGAGAATGAGAGAGAATGAGAGAGGAAGAGCCTGAGACAGAATGAGAGAGAATGAGAGAGAATGAGAGAGGAAGAGCCTGAGACAGAATGAGAGAGAATGAGAGAGAAAGATAATGAGACAGAATGAGAGAGAAAGAGAGAAGGCAGAGAGAAAAACAAAGAGAGGAAGAGAGATTATCAAAAGGGCAGGACGAAGATGGAGGTGAACACACGGCCAACGAAACGCGCAATAATAGAAACAACCGAGAACGAGGAAAGGCTCAGCAAGGCAGCGAGAGTCACAAGTGAAGCACGTGTGTCGTTTAAAGGCTACCTCTCCCCTGGTTATGCAAGGAACCAAAAGGAAACTGGGTAGGCCCAATGGTTGTGCACATCCCGGCACCGTCCGGTCTTTGGGTGGATGCAGTCCTGCTTTTGCCAAAATAGTTCTGGGATGCATCCAAACACCACCAGCTTACAAGGGGATCCTGTAAATCTGCTCACAGCAGGCTGGTCCTCGTATGACCTGTGTTGGGACAAGGTCGGCATACCTCGAAGAGGAAACCAACAGTTTCAGGTAGCTGAACAAAGCACTCCAAAATGGACTGCACTGGCTTGTAAAAGGTGGTTGCTCATGGCTACTCAGGACCCTGTCTTCCTCGCCTTGTTGCCAGAGGAGAAGCCGGCAGCGTGCTCCATGCCTCCGTCGGACTTCCTTCACGCAAGCCAACTTTCTCGGCTAAGCGACAAAACCAAAGGCCCCGACCACCAGGAAGGGTTCAGAAGGCCCCTGTGTCCGTGTGTGTGGTTTTTGTGTTTTTGTTTCTTGGCTTGAATCCCAATAGAGCATTTTCATCCACTGCCGAGTGGTGTTTCATCCATCCCAGCTGGTGCAGGAATGTGTTCGTCCACAGTATGTAGATAATCACACCTAATCTCGATTTTTGTGAATCATAGATTGGTTGATGGGTCCCCGTAGGTGTTAAGACTATGATTAAGAGACTGGTCTCCACCCCTTGCAAAAATGAGGTGTAAATCTCTGTTTGCCAGGTGGTAGTAAGCTGCCATCTTTTGAGGGGTTCTTTGCGAGAAGTTGAGACAAGCATATTTTCCCCCCGAAAGATGGTACATGTCGGAGGAGCAACAAAGATGTCCAGCTTTCCGGATGCGAGCTTCCCTATGATTCTTGAAAAGTGGGACAGACCACCTTCCAACTGGTGCGGGATTTTATCTTTCCACAGTATTGCAGGTGAACCAACCCGGCAAATCGCGGGGTATCCACCTTGTTCCCCTTCTAGGGAACCCTCAAACACTTGCTTTTGTAGGAATCTTCAGTTGGAACCCATGGCGTTGTGCAGCAGTGTCGCCCGCATTCCAAAGAGGGCTGGTTCTTTCACATGGAGCCTACGAAAAATGTGGCTGTGTGGTTTCCGCGATTTTCGGGAGACCACAAGGCCAGCCACTTCGAGGGTCGGCCCTCTTGTTGACACCATCAATTCCACTTTGTTCCGCACAAGAAGCTTTGAATCAGGCCCTCAGAGCTCGGACTCCTGTCCGCTTTGCTCTATCTCCAACCTCCCATGGCGCCTTCCCTCCAAACACAAACTTTTCTTCTGGGGTACAGTTAGAACAAAAAGAAAAAAAGGTGTTTCCACCTTACCCCTAGGTGGCAAACGGTTTGGTGGTTTGGACCTCAGGTAAAGATCCCCATTTGGGGAACAACTACCTCATCCTTTCGTCCCTTTCGTCTCCTCAGGAAGCAGGAGCCCTCGCCAAAGGACCAGTGGGTGCACTCCTGAGGCCACGCCATGGGCTTTTTAAAACCCAAATCGGTTAGCCCCCAGTGAACGGGACCCAATCCACCCACTAAAATAGGAAGCCTAAAATGGGTGGTGCACCGAAAACCCCGAAATGGGATCCCATTGGTTGTGAACCACGGCCATTCGAACAACGACGAGGAACCCACCGAATCCCCTCGCCAGTGGATTTCCATGGGGAAGACAAGGGGAAAAGGCACATCTTTCCCCGAAAGGTTCAAGGGTAAAGATCCATCCAAATAGTCAAGCGGTCCTTGTAGAGAATATTTAGATAGAACACCAGTGTGATGAAGCCCAAAACCACCGGGATAGTTTGACCCAGCATTCACCTCCTGCAACCATCAAAAACAAACGCCTGCAAGTTGCCGATCGAAGCATACCAGGGCATCAAAAGCAACACCCCCCCCTGCCAATCTGCGGTCGGCCTCATAGTGTCCTTGGCTGGGCCACCTGCTTGTTTTCTCACAACTTGTTTCTCCCTCACCTTAACAAGGGGGAGTCATCGGAATTCCAAATTCAAAGGTCGATCAAAGTACTGGTGGGTTCCATAAACGGCAACCTGTCTGGAACAAATTCGGAACAAATCCAAACCCTGAAACAAGGAGCATCGCAACGCGCGTTTTTTTTTACTTCACGGTGAGCTGATGGTGAGCTGATAAACTATTCCGACTTGTTGCACATCCCAAGAGAGGACATTGAAGCCCTGGGAACCCCTTCTCCTGCACCTCCCGGCAGGCGCGGGCACAAACTGCCTGATCCTGGGCGGGCTGAGAATGAAGGCCAGTGGGCTTGGCCCCTTGGCCAATGGCCCCATGGGTAAAAGCTCAGAGACCGAAGGCTGAAATACTGTGGATGGACGAAATCTTGCACCACCCAAGCAACCCTGGGAGAATTCGATTGCCCTGTAAATACCAACAAGCAATGGTTTCCCATGGCTTCAAAGTGGTGCAGGATTTCGTCCATAGTATGTCACAGTATTCTCCCCCGAGTGGATCAGGTTGAAGAACTGTTCAAACCTCCAGAAGCTCGCTGCGTCAGTCTGGTTTCACCAAGGATCGCCCCAGCCAGAAAGCAAGGGACTGAAGGGGTTCTCAGGTTCACGTAGCAACCGATTGAAGTCGCCAGGTACACGCTTCGAAACAGCGGCTAAATCCCAGCTCCCCTGCGGCCATGGCCCCGGAAAAAGGGGCACTCAGTGTCACGTTGCTTTTCAAGGGAGGGAAACCTTGGCAACAAAAATGTCCCGCTGGAGGTCTGCTAAAAGGTGGCCTGAAACATGGAATGCCCCATGGATGCCGCGATTGCGGTTGGATGGTCCTGACAGTGGAACTTGTCGGTGCTCCTGCCAACATGCGCTGACAAAAATGGAAGCCTCACAAGGGTCCACAAACCAGATGCTGGAAACTCCAAATGACTCTCTTGTGTTCGTTGGTTTTTCCATTTTTTTCTGGGGGAGTGGGGGGGGGTCCATTGCTTTCTGCAGGAGACCAGGAAACCCCCAACACATGCATGTGTGTTCTATTGGGGCGGGGGGGAAGTGCAGAAATGCTTTTTTGGCGCCTCTGACCATGGCACAGATGGACCGGGAGTTGGCATTTGTAAGCCCCAACTATCCGCCAGCCAATCCGCAAGTGCCAGGCCCACAACATCCAGGGTACCCCAAACGTAGTATGCTATGATTCTGTTTCAGATTTAGTTTGCCCTGTGAATGCAAGCTGACCAAACGGCACAACACAAGCAAGCGATAACTCTTTTATCCAAGCGTTGTGTTGGTGCCATGGACTCATCTTCCCTTTCAGGAGTTCCAGGTTGGGTGGCTCTCCGTGCCACCCAATTCAAAATTCCTGGACAGGAAATTAACCAGTGTGCAGACTGATTGCGCCCCACGTTGGCCGGGGCCAGAGGCACCCAGGCCTCAGAGAGTCTGCCACCGACGGTCACGGGAGCTGGGTGGGTCCACGCCCACGCTAAGGTCAAATGTATCTCCATTCAGGAGACGCGGAAGAAAGGTAAAACCTTCACACAGCTCCGGTTTTGGAACCCTGTGCGACGGATCAAATCCTACAAAATCAGGGTGGGTTAGTTCGTCCGCCCACTCATTGAACTCACGAGGCACATGATGGACTGCCAGAGAACATCCATGCCCGTGTAGCAAGAGCACCAGCTCCATCAGGATGGCCGCGGTGTAGGGCTTCTTGGAACCGAGATTGAGCATGGTCATCACGTTGCCCTGGTTGTCACTGCCTACCGGGAGTCTCACCCTGGAGGCCACAGGGGGCCCTGATGCGTGAGGATCATGTTGCAGAGGAAGAGCGTGCCTAGCATTTCCAGTGCCGCAATTCGCCGCTTGGGATCCCCATCCTTGAATGCCCAGGGGTACTCCTCCTGGTGGATCTGCTCGTGGAACCAGAAGACCGCTGACTTGTCCGGTTCCCTCTGGTTGGAGCACCATCCCCCCACAAATGCCAGTCCCTGGTCTGAGGCGCTCGCATCACTGCACCCCCACCAGGACGACTTGGGCAGATATGGGGAGTACTGAGGCGCAGCATGAAGGCCAGCATCCTCCCCACCGTGGTGGTAGCCATCTTCCACGCTCAGAGCGGTTGGAGCATGGATTTTGCCAGAGGACAGGCCGAAGTCGCCCACTGGATCCGACCCAAAACCTTCTCAATGTCCTTTGCGTGCATCCTCCATCACCAGGATGTGTTTGTTGGCTGCCATGAGGACCTGTGGGAGGTTGGGATGGACCACAAAGCCTAACCACGTGTTGACCTCCGCCAGGCTTAGCGGTGTGCAAGGATCTCCCGAATGCTGTGCAACAGATCCTCTGGGAAGGGGTGTGACCCTTCCCCCACTGAAAGTGACTCCTGAAGTCGCTCTCCCCAGGAGGTTGTAAGGATGCAAATCTTGGCGCCCATGCTGCGCAAGGAATCCCTGAAAGGGCGTTGTTTGAAGGCCATCTGCAGGAACATGACCGGATCGGATAGACTAGGGTCATGTGTGATCGGCAGGATCGTGGGTCTGTCCAGGATCCCCCTGCATTGCTGTGTCCATTGCTGCAGGGACAGTGCTTGGCCCGGTGTAGCTTCGATCTTGTCCCCGCCCAGCGTGACCTTGTGGCCTGATGCCGATCCCAGCAGGGTGCCCAATGTGAAGCCTGTTTGCCAGCCTTCCACCTCACCGACTGGCAGGTGTGGAAGGAGGCCTCTGGTCGCCTGGGCGGAGTTCTTTGGTGTGGTGGAGTCCCATGACCCCCTGGAAGCAATTTTTCCAGGACCGGCCCCGCTCTGCACACGATCGCCGCCGCCAGTCCCTGCATCATCTCTGAGGTCGCTGGAGTTGAGTTTCCCCCGTCTAGGGTGTTCTTTGTGATTACATCGAAGGTCATGCCAGTGATGAAGCGGTAGATCAGTAGAAGAGCCGTGGCCTTCACCACTCGTCGAATTTGATGAGAGAGTGGTGGATCGAGTTGGCCCACCCGATGTAGGCCCTCGTCACCCATATTGATGAACACCTGCCTGCGCCTCCTGCTGCCTTCCACAGGATCCATTGGATGTTCCAAGAATGACGAGCCCACTTGTGGGATTGTCCTCCCACCCATTCTCTGGTAGGCCAGGGACGTGAGGTACATCTGCCTAAGCATGAGCACACTGTCATTGTCCGTGTCCTCCATCACCTGCCGACCGACCTTGGCAAACGCCACCTTGCCCGCTCGTGGAGAAGGGTTCGTCCGCGTCCCAGGCCCTTTTCTCCTGATGTCCACCGCCCAGATGTACTCCGAGATCGCCGGGTTGTAGGCGTGGATGTAGGCGTCCAGAGCCCCAGCGTCCTCCTTGCCCGCATACAGCAGAATGAAAACCGGCTTGGCAGAGTCCTGTACCGGATGTTGGCGCCACCTTAGTCGCGACCTTAGTCTCTGTGGAACCTCGTTCATCCAAGGGAAAGTGGGGTTGGCCCGGGGTTTTTGGGGCCAAAGGCGCCGTCTCTTCAGACCCCCCGGTGTGGGTTGATCCTCCTTTCTGTGGAGAGATGATTACGCTCTGGTGCCTCTCTGGGGCCCCTTTGCGGCTGCTGTGGCGTGGTCGGGCCCCACTGCTTCTGGGGCCGGAGGCACCCTAAAAAAGTCCCCCCCACCTCAAAACGATGCACCACTCCCACCTGTCTGTGTGGGGGCGTGGGGGCTGCTGGGGCGGGAGGCACCCTGGAGAAGTCCCCCCCCACTGGTGGCATTCTTGGCCTTTCAGGCTTGTTGCGTGCCCTCTTCTGGCTCCTGCGCGCCTGCCCTGCATCCGCTGTGTGCTGTCCAGCACTGGTGGCCTGTGGTTCCTGGGGGGACGAAGCAGCCACGGGGCCGGAGGCACCCTGTGGGACCGCCTGTCACTTCTGCAGATGCGGGCACGATTGAGGCAAGTGCTTGGACGGGGGGGCATCACACACCCAGCCATTCTTCCGAACCGGGCAGTTGTGGGACCGGCACAAGATCCTTCGACTGAGCAGGCCCCGAAGAACCTAACCTCCCCCTTTTCCCCCCTTCCAGGGCTTCTCCCACTGAGGCTGCCACACTTTGGGAGTCTTGCCTTTGTTCTAGGTGCTCATAGACCTCCCGTTGCCAGAAGAGGAAGTCGCCCTTGATGCTCTTGAGGGCATCCGAGAGATCGGTCCCTTGGTGCACCATGTCATGGATCTTGCGCCATGCGTTGCGCTCCGCGAAGAGCAAGGTGGTATGTCCTCTCCATAGAACCATGCATACCACTCGTCCAGCTCTTCTTTGGTGATCTTCAGATTGAACTGGGGCAGCGCCGCCGTGCACATCAGCAGTGTGGGGAAGGTCATGTGCAGCCTCTCCAGCTGCCTCCTTGAGGTAGGGTGGGACCTCACGGCCTGCTTCGCCACCGACTGGATGGCCGACAAACCCGACTTCTCCGGGTTGCTCAGGATGACTGTCCAAAACGTCGCAGAGACATCCCCCATGCCATTGGAGGAACTGAAGCGCAGGGAGGGGGCCCTCGCATCTCCCAGGACCAGTCGTTCGTCCCGGAGCGGCTCCGCGGGCTCCACCATTCTGTCCTTAACCACTGGTTATAGCGGTTGCAGGGGCTAGTCCACCACCAGCTGAAGGCAAGTTGCCTTATCTTTGTGCCATCCGGTGATCTGCAGCAGCCTGGACAGCCCCCAGCTCACCTTCCAGGAGCTGCGGCAGAATCTGCACATGTAGCCCCCCGTCGTCTTGAATTTCTCCTTACTCACCACCTCCCAGGCACTGATACTGGGCAGGACCAAGCCGCACTCCACCGAGCCCCAGAACGCATGCTCTGTCTCCTTCGGGAAGTGCTTCTTGACGTAGGCCGACCCGCTGGCATATGCGAAAACAAGTGCAATGTTCGAGGGTGCGAGCCGTACTCTTAGTGATACGGTGGATGCACTACAAGGTCGAGTAGGGAAACAAGGGAACCCCCTAATCTACCGCAGTGAGGGCCTCTGCCTGAGGGAGGGGGAGGGTCCCTTCGAGGTAGTTGGTCAATGCCCAGAGCTCCTTCCCAAACCAACAGTAGACTAGTCACTCACCTGCAGACCAGGCTCAAAGGTTTCAGCGACCCAACCACTTTGAAAAGTAGCTCCAGAAATGAAGGTCCAGAAATGAAGGTCATTTACTGGACATGCCTCATTTTCAGATTTTGGTAAGTTGGGCATACACCCAGCGCTCCAAAAGGCTCCTTAGCTCTTTGCGGCCCGGCCACGAGTTCGCCACTGCCGTCGTGGTGATGGGCGGGTAGCGCCGTGTGCCCGTGGACCTCAGCGTGGTGTCCGAACCCGCCATGATCTTCTCCTCGTGGGAGTAGCCCAGCTTGTCATACAGGGCCCCCGCCGCCTCCTTGGGGACTGCCTCCACCCAATCGTGCAGCACATTGCACCTCCAGTTCACCTTGACCTCCACCATGCAAAACTTGCTCAACCCCGCCACCAATTTGGTGTAGACCACCTCAAATCCCCGGAGCGCGGACAGCGGCAGGGTGATCCGCTCGTCGCAAACCGCCCGGAAACGCAGCGCCTCCTTGCTGTCGTGGATGGGCGCCACTGGCAACTCCATAACCGGGTGGGGCAATTTGCGATGAAGTTCTTCGCAGCCAGGAAGGTGCCCATCTCCTTGAGGACGTAGGTCCACTCCGCCTTGTTCCTGGGCTTAGGGATGCCCAGGCTCTCGAAGAAGGGCACCGCCTCCTTGCGCATCTGCAGGATGTTGCCGAGCCACTTGTCCGACGTGGAGCCCTCGGCGTTGCGCCCCCTGCGCTGCGGCTTCACCACCAACGGAAAAGTGGCCCATGCCGAGTAGATGTACTTGAAGGTGCATCGGTGAGCGTAGACCCCCGTGAGGGTCGGAAGATCCCACGTCCGAGTCTGCCTGGTCCAGAAGACCCCATCGTGCTCAGCCCAGAATGCCCCCACCACCTGCTCCGGGGGGGGGCGCTCCCCACGATCCACCTCAGCCTTGATCTCCAGGGATGTGTAGATTACGGGGTCGATGTCCTCCGTGCTGCGCGTGCACGGGTGGGTCCGCTTCTCAATGGCCAATAGCTCGTCCGGCAAAAGGCTGAAGAGCTGGTCCGCGTTCTTCGGGATCTGGCCATGGGCATGCTTCTTCCACACCCCCCCAAACATCCGGAGTTCTCCTTGGTGTCGCTTGATAGCCCAGTGGCCAATTTCCAATTCCAGGTCCAGCTGGGGCGCCGGTGGGTCCCCACCAAAGCCGGAGGCACCCTTGGAGGGGGCCACGGTTGCCACCTGCGGCATCTCCACCAGCAGTTCCGCCTCCTTCCATGGATTCCTTGACTCCCGCAACTGCTGGATGAAGGGGGCACTTCTCCTTGATGTCCGCTGCCGGTGGCAAGTCCTCCGGTTCCAGGGCGTGTCGTAGTTCCGCGGGCCAGACCGGTACATCCAAGGGGGAGAGGGAGTGGTTCTTCATCCAGGCTTGGTTGGCCTCCTGGATGCGCTGGTTGACCGCCTGGGCCTCCGTAATCGAACCCATGGCAAGCCTTGCCTGCGTCTGCACTCTTCCCCTCCAGGTACTGCTCCCTGAGCTTTTCCCGGAACCGCTCCAAGTTCACTTTCCGGAGGGCAGAGGACCCCGCGTTTGCCACCTCGTCCGCCGGCACGGCCTGCATGCCCTCCTGAATCGGGGCCAGGACCGCCATCTCATTGTCCAAGAGCTCATCCGTGATGGTCTCCTTGTGCAACTTCCTTGCCGCTATCTCTTCCGGGGCCAACTCCCGCTTTCTGGCAAGGACCTCCTGGCGCGCGGCCTTCTTCTTGATTGCCGCATCAATCTGGGGGTGGTAGAGCTTGAAGCTCTGGGCCTCCGCCTCCTGGAGGGACCTCTGCACCTTCACCCGCACCCGGTGGTCCTCCTGGATTTTAGTGGCCTCCACATCCGCATCCATTGTGAGGATCTCCTGCCTAATATCCACCCTCTTGTCCAAGGGGACCACGTCCGCCATCGTGATCTCATCCACGGAGTCCGTCTTCGGTGGGGGCCTCCCCAGATTGGGGCCATCCACCAGCTTCCGGTCCGCTGCCTTCTGGGATCCGCCGGGGCCGGAGGCACCTTGGCTTCCCCCGTCCTGCTGCTGGAACCAGGCCGGCTTGCCGTCCAAGATCCGCAAGTGGTAGATGATGCCCTCGGACTTGTAGGTGGCCGAAGGCGCCTGGTATGGAACGGACTCCACGCCCGGGCAAACCCAACACTGCTTGGCCGCCTCCGGCCATCCAGTGCCGCAGGATGTGCACATGCGGTCGTAGTCTGCCTGCCCGGCATCCAGCCTGCGCATGCGCTGGGCGCCAATCCCCACCTTGTTCTGCTGGAACTGCGAGCGCCACACCTCCTCCTGCCGGAGCTGGATCTTCATCGGGACGTACGCCTCCAGGATGCGGAGAACCAAGTCCTCCGTGAGGCCCTTGGCAGCAATGGGAAGGCGTCCGGGAGGTCCACCACTTTGAAGTAACCAGCCTTGTTCGCCACCGGCAGCTTGTTCTCCACCGCGTGACTGGGTTTCGATGCCGCCACAAATCCTCTCATCTTCTTGGCCGGCGGGGCTTTGTCACTGGGCACCTCATCGCCCATATCCACGTCGCCCTCGTCCACGGGGCCGGAGGCACCCTTGTCGGACTCGGGGCGGTCGAGCATGAACTGCAGGCGCTCCAGGGCCTTGGAGAGGCCGTCCACCACATCCGCTGCCGTGCCCTCCGGGGGGGTGGAAGGTTCCGTCAACACCAGGCCTGCGGCCACTGCTGCCTCCCGGTCGCGCATCTCCTGCGCTTCCTGGGCGGCCATCGCCACATCCGCCTCCGTGATCTGCTGCTCTTCCACCAACTCAAACGAAGATACGGTAGACACCGAGGAGGCCATTGCAATGGGTGTGTTTTTTGGGTTTTAACCAAAATGGCATCCAAGCCATATTGGCCAAGCATTGCCTACACAGTACATGTTTCCACATGTTCCAACATTAAACAAAAAAAACAGTCTTGGAGGAGATCCCAGAGGTAACCAACCACGCCAAGCCTTGAAGAGGTCACCAACACCCGAGATCACACCCCTGCAAAGACCATTTTAGACCAAAACTGCCAGTTCTATGATTGGAGCGGAGTTCGTGGCGCGAATGGCTCAAGATCGTTGGGCCCACCGATCGGTGTTCCAACGCCAACTAAGGGGAAGACAGCTTCCTTTAGAGCAAGTCAAGGGGACGACCAAAACCTGAATGGGCGTTTGAGAAACCCCCCCACCATCAGCCAGGGATAAAAAGCGCGCAAGAGGCAAAGGCTCCATTTAGTACCAGGGTTGCGTTTTCGAGTCGGCCCGACTTGCATAAGAACATCTCCCTTTCCCCCAAGTTCAGGGCCCATAGGTGGCATCCCCTCTTGCGCGTTCCTCAAGGATGACGGTGACCATGAAAAAAGGCTTGTTTTCTTGTTGGTTTCCCAAAACACTACCCAAGGGTTCCAAAACCCATCCTCTCTGTACCTGCGAAAGGTGGAACCCTTGTCACCCTGGACAAATTCACCAAGTATCCGTTCGGGGAAAAAACACCAGAAGGAAATTCACCAAAACACCTGAGTTGACAAACGAACCTGGGGAACAGTTCGTGCAACCATCCCTTCAAGTCCAAACCTGGCAGATTCGATGGATCTGCGGGAAAAAAGCGCCACTTGGCCTACCTGGACCCCTGAACCGTCAGATGCAAGCCAGGCGTGTGGAAAAAATGAGCCAACCACTCTTCTGGCTACTTTGCGGGTCCAGGCGCCCTTTTTGGTTTTTTTTTTTTTTTTCCGGGGCGGGCGAGGAAAACTCCAGAACGGCGCCGGGGCGCCGGGGCGGCAGGCGGGCGGAAGCGGCTTCCGCCGGAGGCTCCTGCAGTCGTTCTGCCAGCACCCGGAGCTTCCGAAGAGGCTGAGGTCCAGGAAGATCCCATAGGCGCCCAGGTGCCGATACACCCGCCCTTCGGCTCCCGCGGGGGTCCAAAAAAACAACACGCGCAAAGGCCAACCCCACACCATAGGGGGGGTTGGAAAAGCCGGGCCCTTTCGGGGAAAAAGCCCAGTCTGGCCATTTTTGGACTTTTTGGACTTCACCCGGTTGAAGGTGCGAATTTCCAAGAGGAAATGGAGATGGACAGAGTTCGGGGAAATTCATGTCCGTCAACCTGTGAGGTGATTCCCTACTAAACATCAGAGCCATGTGTCCGCACCTTGGAAAATTAGATGCTGCCTCGTTTGTGGGGCATGCGGACAATGTTCCACCATGTGGGCATGCGTCAAAACAGCGGGACACCCCGAGAAATGGTTGGCTTTCCATTTGATGCTTTCCCTTTAAACCCCAACCTGAACAGTACACAAGGGCATCCACGAACAATCCAAGCCGCCCGACACCGGTGGATTTGATCGGTCTCTCCGCCAAGCGTCTGGGCTCCACACAGTCCTGAGACGCGTGCATGAACGCCATGCCACCCTCCCTCTCACTAACAGGAAGCGCGCAGAACCCCTTTCCATTTGGCTGCGGGTCAAAGATAGGTATCCAAAACTTAAGGTCCCCAAGGTAGCCTTTCATTCAGAACACCCTACCAAACATGGGCGTTTGAAGAAAAGGCTTGCTTTTCCAAAAGTCGAATGTGCACTTCAGGTTTGGTGAGCAACCTTCGAAGCGTCAAGCTTTCCCAGAGTCCGCATGCAAAATCCCCGGGATGAAGCTTTCTGACACTTGCGGGTTTTGAGGTTGCTTTGGATAGTTGAGCCCTCTGAGCATAGAGCTCAACGCCTGTGGGTGCGTTTGTTTGATTGGAAAATGGACCCTTTGGAGGACGTCGTCCACGTGAGACATGATCAAGTTCCCCCCAATTGGTGGATTGGATTGGTGGTTGGTCCCCAAACTTCAACCCAGGCGGCAAGCAGTTGTTTAACCTGGTTCCTTTGAGAGGCGACATGGGCTCGCATGGCTGTGGTGATGGTTTGGAGCCCATTGGTTTGGAGGTTAGGGGGCTGGTTCCCATTTACCCTGAAGAACCAAGTCAGCCAGTTGCTGTCACATGGGTGTGTGAAAATACGGATAGGAACCGCACATATGATTGTGATCCTTTTCATCTCATTCTAAACCTCACCAAATGGGTTTTAACCAACCTCAAAGCTGGCATCCTCAACGCTCTGGGTGCGGCGAGGTGCCGGGTACGCAACCACGAGCGGCACAACTAGCAGCGCGAGAGCCAGCATTCCATGGACGCGGCGTCTACATCGCCGTGATGCACCGATGGTTTGTGTCAAAACGAATCGGCCCCCCAAAAGCCTGGCGTTTCTGATTTGTTGGTTGGTTGCCGAGGGGTCGGACTTCAAAGACGCCTGGTTTCCGTCCGTGCCGTTGAAGACCAAAAGGACGAAACATCAATCAAACCAAAAAGCGAGAAATCAACGTTCCCAAAAAATGATACTCACTTCCTGAGTGGATTGACCCGAAAAGTCTAAACCTTCATATGGCTTTCCCAAAAAGAATAAAAGTGCTGGAACTCAAGAAGCAGGTCAGCCAAAAAAAGTTGACGCCGCCTTCCCAAAAAATAACACCCAAATGCCTAAGACATAGTTCCCAGATCTTGGTAAGACAAATCTGCTTGCTTGCTGACGCAACCTTCAGACTCCTTTGAGCAGGAAATCCGCAGATCCGAATTCCACGCAAACTCGATGGTCGAGAAAGGGACTTCTGCAATTGTAGCGAAGGCTTCCAGGTTTGGGACACCCTTGAAGGCAACCACCCTTACAATCTGCCTTTAACCCGCAAAAATCACCCTGAATAAAGTTCTTCTTTGATCCTGCAAGGTGACCCGCCCTCTCAAAAAAAGGAACCCCAGAGCCGAATCCAGCCGTCGAGCTTCACCAACCCTTCCAAACCTGCAGGGCGGAAAAATTTTCGGGCACCAGGAAGGTTTAGGGCCCCTCATCGGTCGTCCAAGCAACAAGGATCAGAACCTCGCCCTGGGTGCAAGTCTACCTGGACCATGTACCCTAAAAATGGTTGACCTCATCCGGTAATGTTGGGAGTAGTATCATGTGTTCAAGGGTAGTTTGAGGATTAAACCGTTAAACCCTAGAATTGTGGCAAACGGCTTGTGCATTTCACCCATCTTTACCTCACTTCCCGAGTGGATTGGCAAAATGCCTAAACTTGCCAATGGCCCTCCCGAAAAGTTGTTACAGGAACTCGGGGAAGTGAGCTACACGCAGCACCCTTCGCCCTTGGCCCTTTGCCGCAACCGCCTCCCTCTCCTGGAAGAAAGAAGCGGCCCGCGACGGGGCCCTTCGCACCTCGCGGCGGATTTCGTGTTCGAGGCTCGCCGCTTTTCGGCCTTCGGACGGTGGCTTCGATTGAATGCCTGGCTAGATGGCTGCGGGTCAAACATTGGTACCCAAAATGGCTTGCCCTGTACATGGAAACATGGACTAAAATCTGCGGTCCCCTGGTGGTTTCATATTGACCCCACCCAGATAGCTGCTAGGAGTTACCCTATGCTTCACACCCGCCAGGCCATGTCCTTGTTTTCCCTTCAGTTCCCCTTTTTGCAAGGCGTCAGCACGTTTGTAGCCAGCGTCCCTCCTTCTCTGGAAACTTTACCCGAACTGCCGCAGTTGATGAATAAATAAAAACGGCGACTGGCGATCCAGCTTGGCTGCTTCAAATGGCTGGCTTTGTTGAAGGGCAACCAAGTCACACATTTTGTTCAACGCACCCTTTGAACGGTTGGTTTGATTCTGGGAAACCAAAGCCTTAAGCATTTTGCAATTTATTTAATGCCAGA